ATCATGCCCCCAGACTAGGTTTGAGCTAAGCCCTGAATGTTTATCACATGTTGTTGGCCTGGCTTGAGTATAAAGAAGAACTGAGAAGTGAAAGAAACAGTGGATTTGTGTCTGTGAAGCTTTGAGGCAACAGCAGGGTTTGTCAGATGTATCACCTCTGCTCTGACCTACAAGTTCCTGTGAAGGTCTGCCAACCAGCTGACTGTTAAACATCAAACATTTGCTCAAGGTGGTTAATAACATTTCCTTACATAACTTTTTTATCAATTTCTTTCCATTTTATAGAAAAATATTTCTTCATTTTTTTTTCAATTTAATTTCCCTTCTCTTTTTCATATATATTCCTCTTGTGATTTATCTCTTTGACATTTTATCCTTTCTCATTTGTCTAACTACTTTATTACTACTTATTCAAACTCATTCTACACGTATTCAACTTATAGCTAATCATTCAGTTGGAAACAGTATTAAACCGTATGATGTATGTTTACAGTTTTTGTCCCATTCATAGTAATTAGTGTCTTTCAAAGTTTTCCAACTACAATACCCCTTCAGTTACTTCCAACAAATTAAAGCCAGTGATTCAGTATATTGACAGCTCTTCAACACACCTTCAAATCTTTATAGATTATTAATATTATTTAACTTTTAGAGCCAGCAATTCAACATAAGCTGCTTAAAAGATCTTCAAATATTCCACATCATTCAAAGAATTTAAAAGCCGGCAGTTCAGCCTAGCATTAACGTCAGTGGTCAGCATTTACTCCCGCAATTTCTTAAGAAATTGCCTTCTTTAGTTATGCGGATCTCTGTTTCAACTCCATTGGCCTCACCCTTCGCCTTTTTTCACTTTGAAAGTCTTAATAAAAAAAAACATGAACCTCTGCTGGGCTTTTTGTAAGGTTGTAAGTATTAAAACCCTTAACAAGACATCTAGTCCTTCTACCTCATTAGAAATTCTAGAATCTATGAATATGCAAATGTTGTTAATTTCTAAAGTTTTCCTGCTGGACACAAGATGTCTCCTACTTCAAGTTTCTTCATCACACTCCAGAAGTTCCGTACTGGACCAGGGCTGACTTCAAAAATATCAAAGTCATGGAATTGTAAACAAATGTATTAACACCTATTTTTATTGTACAATTAGTTATTAATTACTGACAAAGAAGCATTATTACAGATACACAGGGCTTTGATAAGAGCAATAATTAATTATGGTTGTATATGAGGCAGCAGCAAAAACTCTAGAGAAACTAGTCAGAATTCAATATATATGTCGTCATCATCTTCTTGTTCATCATCATCAGTCACTACTATTAGTGTAGTTGTTGCTACTGTTGTTGCTGTGCACCTCTGTCTGTCTGTCTGTCTGTCTGTCTGTCTGTCTGTCTGTCTGTTTCTCTCACCCCCCGGTTTTGGATGGGATATAAACATGAAAGTAAAACAGTATAAACTAGACACTATTCAACACAGTCCAGCAGTTATCATCAGTGCCATTTCACCTCGTTATTTCCACAACCAAAAGTTAATCTACAAATATTAGAAAGAGAAGAGATTGGTCAACCAGGAACTTTGACATTGTGAGATTGACTCAAGAATATCTGTCCAAAAATTATTATGACTACTTAATTATTTATTATTATTTATTTCTGTGGTGGCCAGCGTGCTCTTTTATGCTCTGGTTTGCTGGGGGTAGCAGCAAGAGGAGAGACGCCGGTCGACTGGACAGACTGGTGAGGAGAGCTGGCTCAGTAGTGGACACAGAGCTGGACTCTCTGGTGACAGTGGCAGAGAGAAGGACCCTGGACAAAATGCTGTCCATACTGGACAACACCCACCATGCTCTGCACGACACCTTCACCAGGCAGAGGAGTGGGTTCAGTGGCAGTCTGCTGTCCCAGTCCAGCTCCACCAACAGACTCAAAAACTCTTTCGTCCCCTGGCCATCAGACTGTACAAATGGTAAATGGACCTGTACTTGTATAGCGCCTTTCTAGTCTTCCGACCACTCAAAGCGCTTTGACACTATGCACCACATTCACCCTTTCACACAGCAATGGCAAAGTCCATCTAACAGAAACTAACTCATTCATACACATTCACACACCGATGTGCTGATTGATCTTGCTCAAGGATACTTCGACACGTGGCAGGAGGAGCCGGGGATTGAACCAACAACCTTCCAATTAGGGGACTACCCGCTCTGCCTCTGAGCCACAGCTGCCCAACAACTCTCAGTAAAGGCAGGGAGGACAAAAGATAATAGACAATGGACAATTTCTATCTTTATTTTGCACATCCATTTGCACTGTTTTACTTACCTCCCCTACTTACTTTAGTCTAATGTATATTTAATGTACACTTTATATTTTATCTTCTATTTTATTTTTAATTCTATTCTTAAGGTTAGGGATTTTAATTTTAGTGTAATGTATGTTTAATGTATGTCTTGTATTGTGTATGCTACTGGATACTTGAATTTCCCTCAGGATAAATAAAGTATCTATCTATCTAAATTTAGCACAGAAAGTAAGGAAATTTGTGTTGGGTAGATTATTTCTCTGTGGTAACAATGCTTTTTGGCAATAAATCTTATACCGTTGGAAAGCCTGTTTAGTTCCCTTTCAAATGGTGCCCCATTTGTAAGGAACATACATTTGTGGGATGAGCAGCAGCGCTGACTATGTGGGTTGCGTCCATGAAAAATTTGTCAACTCTTTTCTGCCATTGCCAAACAGTGCCTGATTGACACCTGACTGGGCAACTAATGGGGCAATAGGGCAACTTCAAGCTGGTGTTCCGCAAAACCAAGTTGCAGCATTATTTGGAGTGAGCCCTCGTACCATCTCCAAACTGAAGGCCAAGCTCCATATAACAGGGGATGTCAAAGACAGGCCGCGAAGTAGGCGTCCCAAGAGGACGACACCCCAAGAAGACCATTTCCTCACACTGTCAGCACTTAGGTGCCGTAGGTTTTGCAGTCAAGGTTTGCAGGATGATATGGCCAACGGCTCTCTGCCCAGACAATCCGGAACAGACTACACACAGCCAATCCCCGGTCTCATAGGGCTGCCAGGAGTCCGGCCATGACTGCCCTTCACTGTCAGGCCCGTTTGTGCTGGTGTCAGCAACACGTGCACTGGAACCTGAACATGTGGAGGAACGTTATGTTCGGTGATGAGTCCAGATTCTGCCTATGGCAGTTGGATTGTAGGTCAAAGTGTGGAGAAGACGCGGAGAACACTATGCTGATTGCTGCACCAATAGAATAACATCTTTTGGGGGAGGCAGTGTGATGGTGTGGGGCGGCATCTCCCTCACTGGAAAAACGAGGCTTGTCATCATTGGAGGCAATCTCAATGCAGAGAGATATAGAGATGAGATTCTGCAACCAGTGGCAATCCCATATCTCCACAGTCTCTATCCTCCAAGATGACAACGCTCGCAACCACAGGGCAGGGTTTATCAGAGACTACCTCCAGAATGTGGGAGTGGAGAGGATGGAATGGCCTGCCAGCAGTCCTGACCTCAACCCCATTGAACACTTGTGGGATCAACTTGGGCGTGCTGTTCGTGCCAGAGTGACCAACACAACCACGTTGGCTGACTTGCGACAAATGCTGGTTGAAGAATGGGATGCCATCCCACAGCAGTGTGTGACCAGGCTGGTGACCAGCATGAGGAGGAGGTGTCAGGCTGTTGTGGCTGTGTATCGTTCTTCCACACGCTACTGAGGCTCCTGTTTGTGAAATTAATAAATTGTTAAATTGCCAATATGTCTTGTTTCTTCAAACTTCAATCATACAAACGAGTCAATGGCAGAATAAGCTGTTTGGCATTGGCAGAAGAAGATTTTTGCAAATTTTTCATGGGCACAACCCACATACTCAGCTCTGCTGCTCATCCCACAAGTGTATGTTCCTTACAAATGGGGCACCGTTTGAAAGGGAACTAAACAGGCTTTCCAACGGTATAAGATTTATTGCCAAAAAGCATTGTTACCACAGAGAAATAATCAACCAAACACAAATTTCCTTACTTTTTGTGCTAAGTTTATTTACAGATGAGTCAAAACATGAAAATGATGATCGTGTAGGTGTGGGAATATACATTCCAGAATTCAATAAAAGCATTGCTAAAAGAATTACTAATAGGTTATCAGTATACACAGCAGAAATTATAGCAATAATCATCAGTCTTCAGTGGGTAGAGGAAGTCAAACCAAGCTAAGTAGTAATATTATAGTTCATATTCAGCAGCTGTAATGTATAGTATACAGTCAATACAAACAGTTAGAAATGATCTAATAATGAAAATATACATGATTTTATTGAACCTAAAACAGCTAGGCTATGTATTGATGTTCATTTTTGTTGGATACCAGCGAATGTTGGAATAGAGGGAAACAAGGTTGCTGATAAACTAGCTGAAAGTTCATTAAACAAAAATGATAGTGGTATTTTATTAATATGTTTTGGAAGGTCAGAGGTAAAATCAATAATTTAGCAGGGAATAGTGAAAACTTGTCAAAATATATGGAATTGACATCAAGGGTAGGGACTATTATACAATTCAAAAACCTGTTAGAGTAAGAAGTAGGAAAAGTAAAAGCAGAGATATAATTCTAACAAGGTTAAGACTAGGTCATACAGGGTTAAATGCTAAACTGTGAAAAAGATAGATTCTGATGAGTTTGAAACATGCAATTATAAAGAGAGTGTCAAACATAGGGATGGATTGTAGAAGGTGAATTCGTCTTTTGGGCATATGGGACAAACAAATACAGGTTCAAAGGGCTTTAATTAAATACTTAAATGAAACAGAATATAATTCCAATATAGTCATGATTTTACACTCTCCAGTAGGTAGGAGAAGAAGAAGAAGAAGAAGAAGAAGAAGAAGACGAAGAAGAAGAAGGAGAAGTAGAGTGCCTGTAGCAGTTTCCGCACTGTGCGGAACCTTATATTTTAGTTTGTTTCCACGCGTTTTACTGCGAAGTGACACTTCCGTACACTTCCGGGTCGGAGGTCATGATACACATGTGAGACCCGAAGAAAAGTGGCTCTGATTGGTACCGGACTACAACAGCTTTAACTTCAGGTATTGCGACTAATAATTGTATGTTTTATTGTGAATATTTAACAAATGTGTGTGTAGCAGTTCCGCAGGTACGTACTGCTGCTAGTGTTAGCTAGCTTCTGCTCCTACAGACAGACAGACAGACACAGAGGATGTTATACACAGAACGGAGCTTCTTGTATTCCTTATGGTCCTCCAGTCGTCACGTTAACATACACACTGAAATAAAGACAATTAAATATTAACGAACTAGCTGAAATACACAGTTCCGATACAGTTTCCTTTTTAGTTCAGTGTAACACACTAACTGCCAAAGAGGACACAGAACAACTTGTATTTTGCAGAATCCGAAAGCCTCTCTTTAACATAATAACGTCGAAAGCAACCATTGATTTTAGACGCAGATTTATTTGTTCTTTTCTTTTCCTTTTTCCTTTCTTTTTTTTTTTTTTTCCTTTTAGTCTCTACTGACAACTTTGTTACAACTTTATATCACATATAAGACACACAAAGACCCACAAAATACAACATCAGCAAACCAAGACCCATAATGTTAATGTAACATTAGACCACTGACCATACCTGCTACAGTAAATATGAGGTATTGTTGGTTGGTTGGTGTTTGTGGGACTATCTCAGCCAAAGCTACATTAAAGTAAATGTATCCATTCATCACAGGCCCTCATATTTGATATTTCCCCCTATTGTACTTATGTGTTTGTAGTACTGCATTTCCTCAGTTCAACAAGATATTCACATTTTGCTTTTTCATTTCAAGTTTAGGTATATCATCTCCCATTCGGCCTGGCTTTATTTTGCACTTTTAAAATCCATTTTAATTATGGGAGACCTTGGTGATTGTAAAACACATTGTTGTGCTCTGTTCTGCCTAAAGTAAGGGTTTTTTCTTGTCTTGGGATTGTGGGTGCCTTCCCACTAGCCTACAAGTGGTCGAGGCAAAAATGGAGGAAAATAATGAAAATACAAGGCTCTTCATTCAAAATTCTGTCATAGCATCAGTTTCATTTAAAGATGCTTTGATATAAGTCCTGCAAGGTCACAAACAGTCCTGATAGCTCTAGAGGCTGCACAGTTAATCAAAATATTATCAAAATCACAACATGTCCAAGTGCAGAAGCTGCAATTTGCTTGATAAAGGTAAAATGTGTGACAAAACAGCATTATAATGAAATACTGTGGTGCTGAATAGATCCGCTGGCCTGCAAATCTTCTTCTACAGTTTTAAGAGAACATGTTTGTTTGGTACAGACCTTGAATGATGAACTTGTGATGCAAAAATGGCAATTCCCACTAATCGTGAATCATACTGCAAAAGCAATATCTGTCAAAAATAACTGCGGTATGATTTTTTTTAACCTATCATGTAATATTTTATGGATTCAATATAATCATTGAGTTCTTTCTTAAACAAAAAGTATTGTATTTTCCAGGTTTTGGAAATCCACCTTCAACTAAATGGTGCTCTCCCAAACGCCACCATCATTTCCATGACCTCTCTCCATTGCAGATGACAAAAAAGTGCAAAGTTGCAGATTTTAGTTTTAAATACCATGTTTGTGTGTCCCTCAGCTAAAATATGAAGTGGCCTTGATTATGTCATTCTGCACAATAAGTGCTTTGAGCTGACAAAACCTAGCCTACAGTGAGACTGCTTTGAAATAGACAATTTTATCCATGTCACCACCCCTACATTATAGGTGGATTCATGTTTTTTCACCTGCTTTCCAGGAAGACACTGATTTCCGTTCACATGTCTACAGCATAAAAATTGTAGTGACTTGAAACTACTCATTGAATTCCATCACAGTAAACATATTGTCATTGGTGTCTCTTCTTTCCAGCCCAGTATATTTGACTTCACCTCACTTGACTTTAACTCATTTTGACTCATTTTCATTCAAACTATTTGTGCTTTACTGAACAGGATGGAAGGGAAGGTGAAGGAACAGAAGCGACATCAGCAGAAGCACAGCGGACCCAAGGCAGAGAGGAAGAAGCTTAAGAAGCAGGGAGGCACCACAGATGAGGATGAGCGAAAACGCAATCCCAAAGCATTTGCGGTTCAGTCCGCTGTACGCATGGCCAAGACCTTCCACAGGTCAGCCCTGATGACTCTGATTACTGTACTGCCATACATCTGTCACACACACTGAGACTTCAATCTTCTGCTGTAACATCCACAAAATAATATACATTCTTTTGGCCTTTATGCTCACATCCAATTAGGAACAATTTTACATAATTAATTAATTAATTGATTGATTAAAAGTAGGAATAAATAAGTAAATTCCAGTATAAGAAACAAATAAAAATGTGAGTAATTAAACAAACTGTGAAAATACTCCTCATATATATGTTTCTTCAGAGCCCAGGACATAAAGACCAAAAAACATCACATCCCCCTTGTAGACCGGACTCCCTTGGAACCCCCTCCGGTTGTGATTGTTGTAGTCGGGCCCCCCAAGGTGGGAAAAACTACCCTGATCCGCTGCCTTATCAAAAACTTCACCCGACAGAAGCTGGGAGACATATGTGGACCTGTTACCATCGTCTCTGGTAAGTGTGTCCCCTGATTTCTGATGTTGGAGTAGATTAGGATCCACTTCCACCAAGTGCTGCTGTTACTTTTTTGTAAGTTGTCCAGCTTTACCACAGATACACATTGACATTCTTTGAATAAAATTACATTTGCTTCCATTAGCTAAGACACACACAGGTGAACAGGGTAAACATTAAGTGTGCCTGCTCTTGGTGGTACTGTTGGGTCTCTGTAAATAATTTTATAAGGAGTGCGGTCTAGACCTACTCTATTTGAAAAGTGTCCTGAGATAACTTCTGTTATGAATTGGCGCTATACAAATAAAATTTGAATTGAAAATTAACTACAATAATAGTTAATAGATATCACCATGAAAGTTCCCTAGTTGATAAAGACACTTTTTTGTTTTCTGAAATGTTATGCTTCAATATGTAAATGAGGCATTATCTTGTTAGAAATATGCTGTTTTGCATATGCAAAACAGAAATCTGAACAATGGATAAAGCTCCATTTTAGAGAAAAAGGTTGGATATCTCAAATTATCTAGAAAATAGTCAAATAACCATGGCCAACAGCCAAAAAAAACGAAATTTCCCTTTTTTTTGGTAGAAATAAAGTGTGATATAATTCAGACTATGAATAATATATGAACAAAGCAAGACACAACAAAACCTTCAGTGAAACTATGGATAGGAATGGAACTGAAAGGTTTGGTCTATATGTAAGTGCTACTGACATGGAGATTTCTTGTGAGAAAAAACTAATTTTAAGATGTATAGGTATTAACTAATATGTATCACCAAAAAACTTCCCCAGTTGATTACTTAAATTAAGACACTTCGTTTATTGTATGACAAGTCTAAAATGTTCTGTTTAAATATGCAAATTGTTGGTCAAACGATATGGCTTTTTCAGTGGCCAGTGCCAGTATTTAGAAGCAGGGCAACCAATGGCCAATATATAATGCCGATACCTAAACAAAGAAAAGTCATGTATAATTCCATTATTCCGTTATACAGTCTAACATACATGGTTATCTCAGTCAGTAACATATTGTTTAGATGGAATTATTATTAATTAATGTAGAGGAAAAACACAGTGGTTTATGCTGTAGATTTGCTGTCATTTGATGGGAGAAACGTAGAATCATTTAGACAAGACAAGGCAAGTGTTTACAGCAGGATGTATGAAAGTTATACAGTGGCAAGAAAAAGTATGCGAACCTTTTGGAATTTCATGGTTTTCTGAATAAATCTGTCATAAGATGTGATTTGATCTTCATCTAAGTCAAGGGTATTGACAAATAAAATGTGTCTAAAATAATAAAAAATTGTTTTTGATCTTTCACGTCTTTATTGAGAACAACCAAAAAAAAACCATAGTGCTTGTGGAAAAAGTATGTGAACCCTAGAGTTAATGACCTCAAAAAAGCTAATTGGAGTCAGGTTTTAGCACACCTGGAGTAAAGATAATAAGTTTGGAGGTGTGGACTACAGCTGCTTTGACTGATAAAAAACCCTCAAACTTTTGGAGTTTGCTCTGCACAAGAACACGTTTATGTTTATGTTTATGTTTATTAACCACTTATTAATTCTAAGGGTTCACTTACTTTTTCCACTGCCATTTTGAATGTTGAATGAGTGTGTTCAATAAAGACATGAAAGATCAGAATTTTTTTGTTATTATTTTTGGACACATTAGGTTTGTCAATACCCTTGACTTATATGAAGATCAGATCACATTTTATGACAAATATATTCAGAAAACAATGAAATTCCAAAAGGTTCACATACTTCTTGCCACTGTAGTACAAGGCTAGAAACCTTTTCACCACCATTCCAAAACTCACAAGATAATCGGCCTTAATTGGCTGACTAATGAGCGTGTTTATAATGCAAATGAGGCATTGTATGATGATTATTATATGCTAATGCTTTGGAGAAACATGCAGATGCAAATAGAGAAATTATTGCAAAATAAAAATCTAAATGTGTAATATACATTTTCTTTCTATTTGGTCTGAAAAGACATATTTTGCCTGTAGTGTCTCACCTTGACTAAAAGATCCAGGGACATGATTTACATTTTACATGGCTTGAGACTATTTTGGATTACCCTCAAATTTTATTTTACTTATTTATTTCTCTGTGCCATCTGACCAAAAACTTAATCTTAGTTTATAAAACTCTTGTGATCCTCACCTCAGTAACCTTGCATATTCCCAGACACTGCCAGCTCCTCTACAGAATGTCATAAGCCGCTGCAAAAATAGTGCATTGGGGGAATCAAAGTGGTTAAAACTAATAACATATTATGTAATAATTGATATTTTTTAATTCATAGGTGTGCCAACATAATGTTAATTTTTTTTCAGTGTTTATAAGTTACTCCTTTTTGTATTCTTTAGGCAAGAGGCGCCGCCTCACTTTCATGGAGTGTAACAATGACATTAATACAATGATCGACCTTGCAAAAGTAGCTGACCTGGTGAGTTTTTTTCAATTCATGGCAAACCATTGTAATGTATAAAGGACTTGATATCAAAAAGATGTGAAGCAATGCCACATGATAAATGGGCCTGTACTTGTATAGCGCCTTTCTAGTCTTCCGACCACTCAAAGCGCTTTTACACTACGTGAGACATTCACTCAGTGATGGCAAAGTCTGTCGAACAGAAACTAACATTCATACACATTCACACACCGATGCACGGGAGCAATTTGGGGTTCAGTATCTTGCTCAAGGATACTTCGACATGTGGCACCAGGAGCCGGGGATCGAACCCACAACCTTCCGATTAAGGAAAGACCTGCTCTGCCTCTGAGCCACAGCCGCCCACAAAAAGTTCTGGGCTACTACGTTCTGTGCTAAAAACAATGTGGTTCAATATTACAAACCTAGCTAGAAAAGGACCTGCTCCCTGTGTAGATAAAGATGGCTCATTCTAAGGTGTTCAGGTAATTTCAGGTGATTATACAATAATGAAAACATACCATTTCTGCCAATAGATCCTCCTAATTGTTACACACTGGACCTTTTGATAAACTTGATTTGAGTAGACTCTTGAGGGATGAATAAAGTATTAATAACTAAATCAAATGAATTAAATGCATTGTTTTTCCCTCCAGGTTTTGATGTTGATTGATGCCAGCTTTGGCTTTGAGATGGAGACTTTTGAGTTTCTCAACATCTGTCAGGTACATGGCTTCCCTCGTATCATGGGTGTGCTGACTCACCTAGATTCATTCAAGAATAACAAGACACTAAGGAAGACCAAGAAAAACCTGAAACATCGCTTCTGGACTGAGGTCTACCAGGTAAACACATAATCACATCTTTACTGCTGAAAATGCATCATCAATCGCTCATGTACAGAACCTTGAAATTATAACTCGTATGTACTCTGACAGTATCCATACGGCCATGTGATTAAAGACTGTTTTACCTGTGCTTGCATGTTTGGTTTGAACCTCTCAGGGGGCCAAGCTGTTCTACCTGTCAGGTATGGTGTATGGTGAATATCAGACTCAGGAAGTGAAGAACCTTGGTCGCTTTATCTCTGTCATGAAGTTTCGTCCTCTGGTTTGGCAGACCTCCCACCCATATGCTCTTGTTGACCGGTGAGTAAAAACCTGAGACTGACATGACTTTAATTTCAAAGTCACGTATTTACGAGACAGTTCATTGTTGATATCATTTAAATGGCCAGTATCATTTATATTTAATAGTTATTAACAACATTTTCAACAAATTTTTTACACTACATAAAACTTTGTATGTGAAAGCAGCTACACAAACTAATGCATGGACTTAGGAAGAGGAAGAGGGAGTGAGGCAGGTCATCATAGTTTATGAAATGGCTGTAAATTAATTCGTTAGTTTAGTGTGGCTGCTTCCACATACAATATGTGTTCAAGTGAGCTGTCTGTTGTAGTGTTAATTATTCTAAAATTTGTGTAAAATAAGGGTGAGGGTTTCAAATGAATGCAAAAAATAATAGATGTTGCACAGCATTTACTGTGACATTATATAGACTGACTTCCATGGTTTTTTTTTTCGTAAATTTTTGACTTTATAATCTGAGAATATTTGTTTATTTTTTAACAGTATGGAGGACTTGACTGACCCTGAAAGCATAAGGACAGACCCCAAGTGTGACCGGACAGTGTCACTCTACGGCTACTTGCGAGGGACATATTTGAAAAATAAATGCCAAGTCCATATCCCAGGTATGTAAGCATAGTTACCTACCTACCTACAGTTGGAAGGCGCTATACAGGTACAGTAGCAACATTTACCGTTTACCATTTAAATCATCAATCTGTCTAAAGCAGAAAGGCTCCAAATAGTACTGCTGAAATATCCCTTGAAACATGTGCATTGATATATTGTCTGCAATATATCTGCAAAATACATATATCCCTGCAGGTGTAGGAGACTTTCAGGTGGCAGACGTGAACTTTCTGCCAGACCCGTGTTCACTGCCAGATGCTCAGAAGAAGAGAGCGTTGAATGAGAAGGAACGTCTGCTTTATGCACCCATGGCTGGAGTTGGGGGGGTCGTGTACGACAGGGACGCTGTGTATATTGACCTTCCTGCTAATCATGTCAATCAACAGCAGGTGTGTGTGTGTGTGTGTGTGTGTGTGTGTGTGTGTGTGTGTGTGTGTGTGTGTGTGTGTGTGTGTGTGTGTGTGTGTGTGTGTGTGTGTGTGTGTGTGTGTGTGTGTGTGTGTGTGTGTGTGTGTGTGTGTGTGTGTGCGCGCGCTTGGCATGGAAGTGTGTGTTCCGCATATGAATGATCTGTGTATATTATACACTGTATAACCTTCTGACAGCCTGTTTTTTGTACTTATATTCGCTAGCTACTTATTTTACAACCTAACCCAATTTTCCCATGTTTTTGTGTCAAAGTGACTAATGGGGCACTACACATTTGAATTTGGTCCAGTATAGAGTCAGAGTTCTGCTTAAGTCCTGCCCCTTATGGAACCTCAGTCAACTTTCCTGTACTTAGATATGCTATGTGCTGACTTAATTGCGCACATTTAAAATAAGTCCATTAAAAGTGCTTGTTTTTGCCATTACTCAGATCAAATTGGTGTCTGAAAACATTATGGAGGGCACACTACAGAAAAATCCAATGTTTTAGGTGTCTTTTGTTTGACCCTGTCTGTGAAATCTGCTCTGTGGTTATAGGGTCAAAGTTCCCACAAGACCAACACCACCCTCCTGAGCTTCACAGTCTTGCACCAGCAGGCTCACTTTTCTCCTCCTGTTGCCCCTCTCTTTTTCTCCTTATCCACTCTTCAATTTGTATTCTTGTACTGTTGTTCCCATTAGTCACTCTGACAAAAAACACAGGAAAATAAGGTCAGGTGGAAAAATACCAAAGTTGCCTTTTTAAATAGTCAGATTACAAGTACTGTTTGTACCTGGTGTGAGGTGTATTATTCTCTCCCTGTTACAGGAGGAGGTGCGGCCCACCACAGAGCTGGTCCAGTCTCTCATTGACACACATGCTACCCTGGATGCCAAGATGGCTGCCAGTAAGGTGTCTCTGTTCAGCGGCTCTGCCACCCTAGACCCCACAGGCATAGACGAGCAGAGCAGGTGAGGCACCTCACAGCTACAGCCTCTTTCTCTCTTCTTCGTTTATACCTATATAAATATGTACTACAGATGTGAGGGATATTAGATACATGAAATATAATAGTCACATTGCACGTCATTAGGGAAAGACATTAAAGCCTCAATGATACATAGCGGTTATGGGGATTGACTTGAACATCTCCGTATGGATGCTCCTTTGTGTAATGAATTATATTTATAACATGATAAACACAGAGTGTGTGTGTGTGTGTGTGTGTGTGTGTGTGTGTGTGTGTGTGTGTGTTAGAGAGGAGGAGAGTCTGCAGGAGAAGCATGTCTGGGATCCTAACACCCAGAGAAACAGGAGGAAAGTGGTCTTCGCTGAGGAGGAGGAAGATGATGTTAGCAGCACCACTGATGATGAGTATGGTGACAGTGAGCAGGAAGAGGATGAAGACAAGGATAATCTGTCTGAATTTCTCAAAGAGGCTAGAGCCAAATCTGAAAAGTCCGCAAAGAATGTAACATACACTCCACCAGTGAAGAGACAGAAGCTGGAGAAGAGAAAGGAAGAGGGCGAAGAGATGCTAGCGTTTGCTGACAGTGAAGACGACCTAGAGATGAGTGAGGAGGAGGAGAGCAAGGAAGAGGGAGAGGCTGCGAGAGCGAGAGACTCTGGACACTGTTCTGAAGAGGATGAGGAAGAGAGCGATGATGAAGAGTCAGAAAATGAATCAGTGGAAGAGGAGGATGATGCAGATGATACAGTGAAGAAACAAACAGAGAGTGAGGAGGAAGAAGAGCAGGGTAAATACACTGTTAGGTTGATCCTTGTTACGTTACGTACGATATGTTTTATTGTAGTTTGTAGTTAATGGTTGCACTACTCCTATTTTGTCTCTTCTGACGCTAATTCAAATCCCTAAAACCAATCAGAAATCATTTTTCACCTTACAGTTAATGTTCAGTGTGATTTCAGTGTAGTCTTCCTTTTTATTAATCATTAAGCACCTTGAGGATTAAAGAACTGGGGTTTAAAATTCATTCTTGACCTTGGAAACGCAACACAAAATCCATTTAGTAGCTCTTCCACCCCTTTTCGCTCTGTGCTCCAGACTCCGATATGGTGTTCAGCTCTCCTTTTATTACTATAGTTTCAAGTCTTGCAGAAAAAAACTAACTGTGTTGCTGTACAGACAAAGTTGTTTTTCCATATGTCAGCTCAGGCAATGTGAGTAGATGTGATTCAGAACAAAGCTTTCATTGGTCAAATAGTCTGCAGGTAGCTGTTCATGTGTTTTGATATAAGGGGGAATTGTGTTGATGTTAAAGCCACAAACTGATAGATTTGTGATACTAAATAGAATTTGAAGGTTCAGTGATTTTATTTATCATTCTCCTGTTTCTGTCCATAGGGGCTCTACAGTGGAAGGATGGTCTGCAGCAGAAAGCATCAGAAGCTTTTCTACGGCAACAAGAAGCTGCCCCCAATCTGAGAAAACTGATTTATGGTTCAGGTAGCCTGCACATAAATGTCTATTTTGTATGAAAAGGAGTTTAAGGATATATCATTATATGTGTGAAGTTATCACACCATTGGCCTAGACCATTTATCAGTCTGGTTCTAATTAGTACTGGTATAAACTGTATGTTAGCAGATAAGTAACAATATTTGTCAGGTAGGTCCATAGGTTCCCAATGTTCATATGTTTGCCACAGTACGGATATTTACTCACCTTCTCACCTCCAATTTACATAACTTTGTTGCTAGTTTTGGTAGCTGTCTCTAGCTGTTTGGCGTTTGTGACCAATACAAGCAAATGTGTGCTAGCAAGCAAACTTCTCAAGTGACACATAGAATAGGGAAGACAGTAGTGGACTGAAAGGCTGAGAATTTGACTCCGTCCCAGGCCACCCTGTTACGAAAACCACAAATTTTGTAAGCTAACAGTATTTGTTAATGTAATGGGTTTAACGGTTTTCTCACATTTACTTTGTTAGATCACAAATGTTCATTCACCTTTTGCCGTAGTTCTATTTTGTTGTGTGTACACACACACATTCAAATGGAATGAAATTGAACATAAGCCACATAAATATAAGTATAATGCAAATGTTTATTCACTTGTGTTGATAAAGCAAACAGCACAACAATTATTGTCACTGGTCAAGCAGACTGTAGATCATGTCAGCAGGCCGACACGACCTTAGGCCACTGGAAAATGTCTTGGTGCTCCTGATGGGCTGTCCGTCTCTGAGGGATCATAAAATGTACTAATGCCGCAGTGGCATAAAAGTTCAAGATGGGATTGCACTGATTTTAAAAAAAAAAAAAAAAAAAAGATTAAAAAAAAGTGTGCATTGGATAAAGTTTGGGATACAGTTGAGGTGCATAATGTCTAACATCGTTGCATCGGTAAGATTTGTCTTTATATAGAATATTTAGTAGAGGACCTGTGCGTTTATTATTTAGAAATGTGACAAATAATTTTATATTTAGATTGATTCCTCCTCTCTAAACTGTTTCTTAGGTTGCTTAGGAAGTACCAAAGAAATCAACTCTAAACTATCTGTACCAATTTAAACTGCATAGCATCATATTCTTTTGCATCGCATCGTATTGCATTGAATCAAATTGTGTCTAATCACACTGCATCGCAATAGGGGTAAATTGTATCACATTGGTAGTTGCTTCATATGTATGTTAAATGCATTGGATCGTTGAATTGTTCAATGCATCAACATGTGTATCACATTGGGAATTTTCTGTATAAAACCATATTTTTGTGTTGTCAGAGATGCTGTGAATTTCAAGACTACATCAATCAATTCAATCAATTCAATTTATTGTTCTCCAAGGGGGAAATTCATGTTCACATCACTGCACCTGCAGGCAACACCATACACTCGACAAAGAAACATGCTATCCACAATTAACAGATCTACAGAAACAAAAAAACAAACAATAAAATAAATAATACATGTCAGGTTTACACACTCAGCGCGCCCCTCTGTTTAAAGAAGCAGTAGCTGCAGGGATCGGGCTTTTCCCATAGTGAGCTTTCTTGCACCTCAATGTTCGGTACCTCAGCCCAGAAGGCAGTGGGGTGAGATATTGATTGAGTGGGTGTGTAATGTCCAGTTCTATTGTGGTTGCAATGTGTGAGATGGCCCTGTTGTTTAGTTCTGTGAGATTGGGTGTGGGGAGTCCGATTATCTTGGCCAGGTGTTGGTGATGCGTATGAATTTTGTCCGGTTGGTGACAGTTAGCATGTTGTAAAAACAGGAGGAGCAGTATTTGAGGATGGGCTGGATAATACTTTGATACAGTAGTAGGAGAAGATGGGGGGAACATAAAGTCCTTTGAGTTTACGCATGACAGATAGTCTTTGCTTGCTCCTTTTGAAGATGTCAGTGGTGTGTTGGTTGAAACTAAGTTTATTGTCCAGTGTTACTCCAAGGTATTTAAAACTGTCAACCATTTCAACTGTTTGGTTATTGATAGTAATGGGGTGCTGTGGGGTCGGGGAAGCAATGATGAGTTCTTTGGACATTGAGGTGGAGATGGTTGATGACATTACATGATAATGTTTACCTCTGATCTTCAGTGTCTCTTGACAATCATGATTTTTGTTTTTAGTTGTAGAAGCCAGTGATTCTGAGGACGAGGACAAGGAGCTGGGGGGCCTGTTTCGAGTCAGTCGCCCTCATAACAGCACAAAGTTCCAAGCAAACGCACTTGACTGCTCCCGCTTCAACCCTGATACCTTTCACGATTGGGACTTAGAGGAGGTACAGTGGTTCCTAATACACTGTTGTTGCTAGGACAGTTGGAGTATCTTGAGTTCCTGACGTGCTGTTGATATGAAAGAAAAAATAATACCAAAAAGATGTTAAAAGGAAACTTAAATATTTAATGTTTTTTCAGATGCTGAACTCCATCAGGGACTGCTTTGTAACAGGGAAGTGGGAAGAGGGCCAAGACGCTGCCACACTGCTAAAGGAGGACGGTAAGAGAGGAGAGAAGAATCAATCCATTCAGCCAGACACACTAGAGTTGTTGAAATTAATCAAATAATCGATGCATCATGATGCAGACACGGATGATGCTGCATCGATGCAGTGGCGACCATAATCGATTATAACGCAATGATGTCGCTCGTTTTCCGGCCGCGGCATAAACATTCAAATGAAAAATAACATTCTCAGTAGCCTAACCCGTTTCATCTAGACCAGTACTTCTCAAATAGTGGGGCACGACAGGCAGGGGGGACTGACGGGGGAGGAGAGATGGAGAAGTTTCTGACAGGAGTAAAAAGAAAAATGGAGGAGGCGTCAGAGGCAAGAACAGCAAGTGACGGTAACCGGCAGAAACCTAATAAGACCAGGAAATACGACGAAGCCCACATAGCCCTGGGTTTACCGTGAATACGGTCGGAAATGAGGAAAGACCTGTGTGTGTTTTTTATGTTTAAAAACTCTGGCAGCGGACACCTGGAGACCGACCTTACACCCCAGTTATGTCAATAAGCCACTGGACTTTTTTCATCGGATACTCGATGAGTATCGCCAACAGGCCGGTCATTTAGTGAGCTTGACATCACTAAATAAAAACGCACCGTTAGCCTCGTACAAACACTGCCACATCGCAAGGTGCAAAAAAACCATCACACAATAGCAGAGGAGCTAATATTCCGGCAGCATTGGACATGGTCCCAATCATAGGTGAGAAAAGTGCTGAGACACTGAATACTGTCCCTCTGTCCAATGACACGATCGGGAGACGTGTGTGTGTGTGTGCGCGCGGTCTGCTGTGTTCAGACTGTTAAATAAAAAAGATTGTTTTTATCTTAGTACTTGTATTTTAAACAACCACATGAAGTAATATAGAAAACTGTATTATATTGAACTATACAGTATCTTAATGCATTCCGTCAAGTCAAATATCTTATATGGCTTTCATAGAAACATTTATTTGAAGCATCGTGATGCATCGAAGAATCGAATTGAATCAAATCACTGACATGATAATCGTAATCGAATCGGGAGATCAGTGACAATTCACACCTCTAAGACACACCGATCAAAATTTCAGATTTTTGTGGGACCCTCAGTAACAGACACATAGTTGAGCAATTTGGAACTTCAGTTAAGAAGGACATGGAGAGCCAGACTTTTGTTTCTGACTGTTGTTTCTGACTGGTAGCATAAAAGACCGTAACATACAGTTTTGTTGTTTTTGCTGTTTCTAGAGGAACTGTATGGTGACTTTGAGGATTTGGAAACCGGAGAAATCCACAAGGGCCCAACTGAGCAGCAGGATCCAGCTGAGGTAGGTCCTGTTCACGTGGAATAGCTGAAATTAAGATTATTTTCTACTTACTGAATGCCCATTGACACATTATGCAATATTTATATGTGGTTAGGTTATAGTTAAGTATAGCTGTTTAAAATAAAGCGTGTTGTTTGCAGTGGTCATATAAAATGTGTCCCACTAGAATGTAATCATGGCATCAAACTGTAATTTCCTCTCTTCCCATTTCAAGAAATTCACTTTTACTTAATTTCATTTGTAAGTATTTAAGTAGAATTGAAGTAATTTCTGGGTGCATGGCTATATTGAACTTTCTAAAATATATAGAGCATTTTTTTTTCAGACTTGTTACAGGACAGTGATACCTCTGCTGTGGTTTACATGGCTATAAATAAACAGTGACTATGAGAGGGTTTTCAGTTTACCCTTTTTAAATCTAGGTGTACCATAAAGTTGTCTAAAGTTGACAATTTTTGAATCAGCTCATTTGAAACACCAATATATTGGGTGTTTAGTTATTTTCTGTTATGTTTTGTCCTAAAAGCTAGTAATGCACATTTCATGTCATGATTATCTTGGCCAAAATAATTGCAATTCACAATATTATCCCAGTAATAATTAGAATATACTTAAAACTCTATACTGGAAATTCACCATGGTAACATATAGCATTATAGTATAGCATGTTTTTTATCACGATACTCGTGAATATTGTATATCTTTTCATCCCTACAGTGCACAGTTTGCCTGATTTGAAGAGTTTGTAGCCCCTGAAGACTCATTAATACCTTTTTTGTTTTTTTCTGTTCAATGATGTTTTGTCTTGTACACCTTGTGAGCAGCAGAATGATGAAGATGATGAGAAAGAGGAAGCTGAAGAGAGTCAGATGAAGGTGGATGATGATGAGGACCAGAAGAACAAGCGTCTGGAGAAGAAACGTAGGCTAAAGGAGCGATTTGATGCAGAGTACGATGACGGAGATGCCACTTACTTTGATGACCTGAAGGAGGAGATGCAGAAGCAGGCAGAGGTACCTCAACTGTCCTTTTGTAGAGACACGTTCTGTAGTACACAACAGCTGCATCATACAGAAAATCCTACAGTTTTTTTTTCAAAAGGATATATGATGAATTAAAATGTCTGCTGTTCTGTAAGGTGCTGTCTTCATATTCATTAAAATTGTATATTCCTGGCTTGTTCCTGAGAATATTTTTTTGCATTCTGTCCTTAGCTGAACAGGACAGAATTTGAGGATGTGGATGATGAGACCAGAGTGCAGTATGAAGGGTTCCGACCAGGAATGTACATCAGAGTAGAAATCTCTTCTCTGCCCTGTGAATTTGTCACCAACTTTGATCCCCATTATCCCATTATCCTAGGAGGTCTGGCCTCCGCTGAGGGTAATGTAGGATACCTGCAGGTATGTGCAGAACTTGCATTATATTCTGACATGATGACTTTTTTACCCCTAAAGGCTGTTATATACTCTCTGTCCCGACCTCTAGCGCGACAATGTGATGTCACGGGAGCGGCGTAACTATTTATACTTGCGTGTGGTTGTCGCGACACTAGTTGCAGTCTTCTCCTGAACAGAGGTGTCGCAACTGAGAAAAGGCTACCGACTTTGCTATTTCTACGCACTAGAAGAAGAGGAGGTCACGGAGGTTCTTCCAAATTTTCCGGCATATGGCCTCCTCTTTTCCAACATTCATGGCGATTTCTCGCCATGAATTCTGGCACCTCTGGGCATCTCTGTTCCTTCATTGAAGGAAAGCTTGCCCTCTAACTCGTCCATCTTCCTGTTTCCGCTTTGGCGTGCTCAGCTGAAAAAATTAGAGTGGTGCGCGACCTGGCCTAAATCCTGGCGCGCCAGCGAGATCTACGTCATTTTGATGTCACATTATCGTGCTACAGGTCGGGAACGGCGAGTATGTAATAGCCTTAAGGCTAGCAGAAGCCAGTGTTGGGCATGAACACGCAAAAAGAGTGCGTGCTATGAATGTGCTCATGTTTTTGGTTAACTGAACATACAGTATCCATTTGCAAGTAATAAACATGAAAGCGTATCAGTCAAACTTTCAGAAGTTTCAGATACTTAACATTAGCCATTATGAATATTCATTCCCTATGTAATCTCACACCTCAAAACCAAGGTGACAGAGCAATTGCCATCAGAGCCCCCAAACTGTGGGACATCCTTCCAGAGGCGATCAGGATGGCAAATTCTATTCTTTTACGTTTCTTCTTAAAAACGCACTTTATAGTCTTGCCTTCTTGTTGCCTCTTGGCTCCTGTACTTGTCAGATGGTATTATGAGACATAATTATGTCATTGTGTGGTTGTTACTTCTTTGAAACTTCTGAAATTACCCGACATTTCCTCCTAGATTTTCTTATTAAAATCTTAAAATGGTGAGCACATATCTAAAGCTGTGTGTGTATGTGTCAGATGCGACTGAAGAAACACCGCTGGCATGGTCGCATCCTCAAGACACGGGACCCCCTCATCTTATCATTAGGCTGGAGGCGCTTCCAGACCATTCCCCTCTACCACATTGAGGATCACAACGGACGCCACCGCCTGCTCAAATACACGCCGCAGCACATGCACTGTGGAGCCTCCATCTGGGGTAAAACAGCACAAAAAGCGCATACTGCACTGTTGACTGTTGCTGTACAAGGATGAATTAGATTTTTTTATGGACTTTACCTAGAGTGTATATTGAATGGTTGTGTTTACATTATCATCTTACATCATAAGATTCAGACAAAAAAAAAAAAAAGAGTATTATAGACATTATTCTGATTGAGAGGTTTCCAATGAGCTAAAATGTACTTTCATTTTTTTGGCAACAAGAGTGTCCTAGCCATGGTAGGTTTATCAGAGTTCATCACTTGTATTGCCTGTGCAATAATTGTGCTTTTTTACTTCGCTGCATTTAAAAAAAAAAAAAAAAAAATCCTGTGCTAGTGATAGACTGATAAATGGGTCAGCAGGCGTTCTGCTTTGTGAGTTTTTGGAAGCTGGTGAAAAGTTTGATATGATGATGACTAATATTCTCTCTTTGTCTGAAGGTCCTGTCACACCACAGGGCACAGGCTTCCTGGCTGTGCAGTCATTAGCAGGAACTAAAGTAAGTCACTCTAGTTACAGCACTTCAGACTGGTGTGAACAGTTGGTTCAGTTCAATAGTAAGAACACTGAAGAAAATTCAGTTATTCGTTATTTTTGAAATTGAAGTCTCATGTTACTCCAAATCTGAAGAACCTTGATTTAATGATTCATGTGGAATTATGTCAGCCATATTAATTTTATATATTTCTGTTTTCTCCCTGCAGGCTAATTTCCGTATTGCAGCCACAGGAGTCGTCTTGGACCTGGATAAGTCTGTGACTGTAATGAAGAAGCTCAAACTCATTGGTTACCCCTACAAGATCTTTAAGAACACCTGCTTTGTTAAGGTGGGGACTCTTCTGTCTGCCTTTTTAATATCTAATCAAGGTCTACAGCTTTCAGATTTTAGGGAAAAACTGCAAACTGAGTTTTATCATGAAAAGAGGTGAAATTTGATGTCATAGATTAATAAAGCAGAAAATCCACATATCCACATTGCTCCAGAAACATTCTTTAGTCAGTTTTTGAAAAAAATATATATATCGAGGTTTCTTTCGTTGTCGCCTCGTTGTCGTCTCAAGACAATTGTCTTTCGATTAAAGGAACTGCATCATAGCCATGTGCCAATTAGATCTTGCATTGATTTTAATCAACTTACTACTTCAACTAAGATCTCTTATCTATAATTTCTATAATCTGCACCCTACTGTGCATTTTCAGATGTTTCCAGTGGAGAGGCACGTCTGCTCATGAGTGACAAGTGAATTTTAAATCCTTAACTACAAACTAGTTTCCCGTCTCTTTTCCATAGATCTGACAGCCAGCATCTCCATTCATCATGTGCCTGCTCACCAAAACTTTGCTCTTCCATAAGAATAGTGGACAACAGGGATATATTGGGATTGTGATATTAAAGATAAGATAATCCAGCCAGATAATCGGGCTGATCAATCATAGTTTATTTGTGCTTCAAGTCTATTTTTTCTATTATATGGTTGATGCCCAATAAAAAGGCACTCAATAAATGTGTTTATCTACATTTAGCAACCTAAGTGGAGCACAGTGTGCTGCTCTCTGGACAGCTGCGGTTTGTAAACCCACAGAGTCTCGCCTAGAGACAGCTCACATTACTCATTATGCTTTTGCCTAGTGCTGGCTGTGTAGTTTTTAAGTTGCAACAGTGTTTATTTTCCACAATATTACTTTTTGTTAGTGATTGTAATGCATCTGTTCTAACATGGAAGTTTATGTTGGTAATTTATAATAATTAGTAATTTTTTGCTGCTTTAGGGCCTGTGTCTAAATAGCGTTTTTTCCTAGCACCAGTGTCTTTTTTTCGGTTATATTCCCCAAAAGGAGAGAGTGCATGCACCCACATTTGGCCACCTAGAGAAAAAATGCTGCACTCGGCATTGTTTTTCAAAATGCTCTGCCTCTTTTGTGCAGCCGCTCCGAAATTGAAAATCTTGAAACTTTTCAGAAAGGCTGATGCTGTTGTTACTAACGTTGATTTTCAGGCAACCAATCATATATTAGATGGGGAGCTTATCACCATCTAGTTACCAAGAAAATGGAGGAGAAGCTTGTTCTGGCCATGTCTGTCTATCCTGATCTGTATGATATTTCAGACAGAAACTATCATAACAGACAGAAAAGAAATAAATGAAAACAAGTATGCTGAGAGTTCTTTACCCCAGTTTACTATACTACTTTACTACACACACACACACACACACACACACACACACACACACACACACACAGCTGGTAGAGACAACTATTGTGTCTCTAGTTCGGAGCACGCTTGTTAAAGTAATAGCAAATTGTAAGAAATCATCATGATGTCACACTTTCTCTCACTGCAGAAGCGCTTTATCCCAGCTCTCTCCAGCGCCCTGCCAGCATTATTCTGGCATGAAAATTATTTATGTGTACTCTTAGACGACAAAATATTTGTGAGATAGCGATTACATTTCTTGACCCGGTCGTCTAACATCTCAATGTCTTGCTGTGACATAATTCTCCCAGTTCCACCAACCACCTGGTGACTGGATCACATATCGGAAATCTCGAGTAGCGGTGATTGGAAAATGGTAAATGGACCTGTACTTGTATAGCTCCTTTCTAGTCTTCCGACCACTCAAAGTGCTTTTACACTACATGCCACATTTACCAAGTCACACAGTGATGGCAAAGCCCATCAAACAGAAACTAACTCATTCATTCACATTCACACACCGATGAGCCACAGCCGCCCTTGGACAATATAAAAATAGGAACAATCACCCAACTCCACTGCATAAGAGACACATCACAAAAACAACATACTTGATAAATGAAGCACACTTACAATGGCCTGAACTAAAATAGGCAGACATACCATTTACTGTTTATTTGGAGTAGTGGTGGAGCAGCAGCTATTTCGGTTGCATTCTGGTGTTTTGTTTTCCATTGGAAAAAGTTATGAAGCAGTTGGATAATATTAATACTACTTTTGTTTTGATTTTGTTCACAGGGCATGTTCAACACTCTACTGGAGGTCGCTAAATTTGAAGGCGCTTCTGTCCGAACAGTATCAGGGGTCAGAGGTCAGATCAAGAAGGCGCTGTCTACACCACTAGGAGCTTACAGAGCCACGTTTGAGGACCGCCTCCTTATGAGTGGTGAGTGTCTGTTACCGTTTACCGTTGATAAAAGTTGTCTGTATTTTACACATTTGACAATGATTGCTTCTGAAGGACACCTCTGTAGTTGTATCTTTATACTAATGCGTCTGTGTGACTTGTTGTGCAGACATCGTGTTCCTGCGCTCCTGGTATCCAGTGTCTGTTCCTCAACTCTACAACCCTGTCACCTCTTTACTGCTGCCTGTTGGTCAGAAGGACAACTGGGAGGGAATGAGGACCCTGGGGCAACTCAAACATGACCTTGGCATCCGCAACAACCCCAACACAGACTCTCTGTACAAGGTAGAGTAGGCTTAGCCTGGTCTGGGAATGAAGGATTAAGAGCAGCATATTGCAAAAAAATGAATGACATGATAAATTTAGTTGGATGAATTGATTAATTAATCAGTTGACGGAAGAAAAAAAAGCATGTGTGTATAAATGTATGTATGTATGTGTGTATAAATGTATGTATGTATGTGTGTATGTATGTGTATATGTGTTTATATTTGTATATGTGTTTATATTTGTGTAATGTAATTTCCGGACTATAAGTCGCTACTTTTTTCACACGCTTTGAACCCTGCAGCTTAAACAATGATGCGGCTAATCTATAGATTTTTACGGGCTAATGTCCTCCAGGGGGCGCTCTAGCAGGAAGCACAAGAGCGAGACAGACATGTAGAAGAGATAATGCGCCGAGGAAGACGCTAGTTTGATTGTGTTTTGAATTCATTCAGTTTGAATTCATTCAATTCATTCAGTCATTTTGTGCATCATGCACACACCCTCATCATGAAAAACCCAATAAGAAATGCACATGATGCAGCTTTTAAGTTAAAGGCAAGCGATCTGGCCATCGAAGAAGAGCTGCTGCACGTAAGCTTGGCATCAATCATTGCCATTGCCAATACTGTTGTTGCTGTGCGTCTGTCTGTCTGTCTGTCTGTCTGTCTGTCTGTCTGTCTGTCTCTCTCTCTTTCACCCCAACTGGTCGAGGCAGACGACCACCCACCTAGAGCCGAAGGATCTGTCCTAGGTTTCTGCCTTTTAACAGGCAGTTTTTCCTTGCCCTTGTCGCCAAGTGCTTGCTCATGGTGGTACTGTTGGGTCTCTGTAAATAATGTTTTAAAGAGTTCGGTCTAGACCTACTCTATTTGAAAAGTGTCCTGAGCTAACTTCTGTTATGAATTGGCGCTATACAAATAAAATTGAATTGAATTGAATTGAATCGATGGTGAGACGTTGGAGACGGCAGCATTTATTTAATTAAAAATTAAAAAAATCTTTCTGTGTACCATCTTTCTGTGTAAATATCTCATATTACAACGTGGACACCTGCGGCTTATAGACAAGTGCGGCCTAGATATGTAAATTTTTTTTTTCTTTTTAGATTTAGTTGGTGCGGCTTATATTCAGGTGCGCTCAATAGTCCGGAAATTACAGTATATATTTGTGTATGTATGTATGTATGTATGTATACGTGTGTATGTATGTATGTATACGTGTGTATGTATGTATGTATATGTGTATGTGTGTGTATGTATGTATGTATATGTGTATGTGTGTGTGTGTGTATATATATATATATATATATATATATATATATATATATATATATATATAATGTGCACACTTTTGCATTTACACTACAAAAGATATGTGGTGCTTTGAGTGATAGGATCACAATATATATTGTGATCTGATCACCCAGCACACATGTTAATACCAGCTGTAAACAGGCTCTGTGAGTTGGTATGTGCACATTTGTAGTGAGTGGCTGGCTTGACAGTAAAACGCCTTACTGAGTTGTCTTGCAGTTAACACATCTCTTTCATCCCTTTCCTTCTAGCCGTTGGTCCGAGGCCAAAGGCGCTTCAATCCTCTCCACATCCCTAAGGAGCTCCAGAAGGCCCTGCCCTTCAAGAGCAAACCCAAACAGCAACAACCCAAAGGGAAGATTCCCAGAGACCTCCAGAGGCCCAGCGTGATCAGAGAGCCCCACGAGAGGAAGGTGAGCAAAACTTGACTCTACAGCAGAGATACTCATTGCGCGGCTGGCAAGACACATGCAGCTCGTCAAGCTTTAATTGGTGGCTTGCATGGTAGCTTATAACAATATGGTAACACAGCCAATACATTTTTTCAAATGTGCTACATAAATATACAGTGAACTCTGCACTACAAAAACGCAAACATCTGCATTATACATCTCCTTTCACCTTAATTAATGTAGTTTCCTAAAGGGGGCACTGTCAAACCTGGCAACGCAGCCCGCTTATGGCATTGTTTACACTTGACTGCAGTGCACGCTTGCAGCCAGGTTACGTTAGCTCCGCTAGCCAGCGTGAGATCCAGGCACAAAATGGATCGATTTCTAATAATAAAAAAAGGGCAGATGGACAGACACACAGCGTTGTAACAAATACGGTAAATATGGTCTTAATTGAAAATGTATTGGCTGTGTTGTTTATTTTTTTGTGGGATGTCCAATTTATATGTAGAAAAGCAAATTTGCAAAGGTGACTAGGTATGTTGTCTTAAAAGTGGCTCTCCCCTTGATTTTGCTCTGCCAATGTGGCTCTAAAAAAATAGTGGGGCTCACTGCTCTACAGTGTGAGTGCAGCAGCTCATTATCTTGTGTTATTTAGGACCTCAAGCAAATGATTGATTTATGTTGGTGAGTAATAACACATTACACACTACTACTTACTACTTGCCTGGCAGGGGTGCTTGAGGAGATTCCAGCAACAATCCCTGGCCTCATCTGACCACTTTTTATACCAAAATTAAAAAAAGGACAACGGTTACATTGGAGCAGAAGATTAATCGATCAGGTGGCAACTATCTTGACAGGGTCCCCACATGTCCTGGATAAATTTGACTATAAATTTGTGGCAGCAAAAGTAGTTTTTCGATGGTAAATGGACCTGTACTTGAATAGCGCCTTTCTAGTCTTCCGACCACTCAAAGCGCTTTTACACTACGTACCACATTCACCCTTTCACTCAGTGATGGCAAAGTCCATCGAACAGAAACTAACATTCATACACACTCACACACCGATGCTCGGCATCGGGAGCAATTTGGGGTTCAGTATCTTGCTCAAGGAAACTTCGACATGTGGCACCAGGAGCCGGGGATCGAACCCACAACCTTCCAATTAAGGAACGACCTGCTCTGCCACTGAGCCACAGCCCGTCATCGTCATCATCCTAAGGGACTTCTGACAGAATTTCAGCTGGATCTGGTCAATCCGCTGGAAGATATACATAAAGGTGTAAAAATGACATCTCCTTTCACCACTAGGTGGCGCTCTCACTATTACTGAATATTATCACATAGACGTATTCAGGGCGGGACTCTTATCAAACATATGAAGTTTCATTGAGATTTAATCATGTACGCAGAAGTTATGACAACTCCCTCTTTCATGGTGAGTCGTTGAAATTCCACACCACGGGCAATGCCGTTTGATAGAATGTCGTAAATAGCACAACTTTTAATCATGAATGTCTTTAGATCGGGCTGATTAAATATGAAGTCGATTTTAATGCATATCGGTGAAAGGGCACACGTCCCACATGGCAGCATTTTACATTTCATATGGCCGTTGCCCATGGTTGAGTCAAAATGGCTCGATAGCGCCCCCTACGAACTTTCAAAAAACCAGCCCCGGTGTACTGTTTAGGGGACATGAAGGAAAATTGGCAGGCATATATATCATGTTAGGATGTACAAAACAGCCTCTTGGAGCCATATCCTATTCCCAACAGGAAGTCAAATTATGCCGCCATTTCTAGGCCTTGTATTTTAACAAACTCCTCCCAGGGAATTGATCGGAACAACTCCAAATTTGGTGAGCACATTCTAAGGACCTCCAGGATCAAAAGTTGTGCTCCTCATGAATATTCATTGAACGACGTGTCCGTGGCAAGCCATCAAATTCGGCCATTTTTAATTTTGCAGTGAATTTTCAGCATTTTTTTTTTTCCCAATTTTTTCACGTTGTATTTGAACCAACTCCTCGTGGGGAATTCATTGGATCTACTTCAAAACTGGTCAGTACAGGCAAAAAACATTGCTGATTAAAAGTTGTGCTATTTGTGACTTTTCATCAAAGGCTGTGTCCGTGGCATGCCGTCAAAGTCGGCCATGTTGAATTTACCAGTGATTTTCTGTGATTTTTCAGGTTTAATTTGAACAAACTTCTCCTAGGGAATTTATCACATCTACTTCAAATTTGGTCAGTACAGTCAAAGTATTGCTGATTATAAGTTGTGCTATTTTTGACTGTACGTCGAAAACGCAACAGGAAGTAAGCCTTGCGTGGCGATTGTGATGTGATTTCTGTGAAATTTTCGTAGCTTAGTGTTATGATGTACTGGTGCGTGACCCGACGGCAGCAAGCCCCGACGTGCATTGAGTGTGAGGGCCCGTTCATCGCTGCTTGCAACTTTAATTGTGTATTTTGTTTGAAACTCAGCCGTTGGTAGGATAAGTTGTATGATACATCGAAGTGAGTTTACGAGACGCAGAGCAGAACGGCAACATGCTCCCTTTTCATATGGCCCCAATCTCAGTCAATCTAGCTATTCACACCAGCCTTGTCTGTTCCAAAATCAGAATTCTCAGAGAATGACGGTAGAAATGCTCATGATCAGATTTTCATTTGCTGTTGTGGTTGATTAATACCTGCACAGCGACGTTAACTGTGTGCGATGAACACTTTCACTTCTACTTCTTTTAACAGGCTAAAAGGTGAGAAGATACATTTTCTTTTTTTTGGCCTTTTCATGCCTTTATTAGATAGAGACAGATGAAGATTGACAGGAAAGGGGGTAGAAAGAGAGGGGATGACATGCAATAAAGGGCCACAGGTCGGATTCGAACCCGGGCCGCTGCAGCAACTCCGTATGTGGGTCACCAGCTCTACCAACTGAGCTAACCGGGCACCCAAGAAGATACATTTTCTGTAAAATAAAATTCTGCTTGAGTTAAACTGTTGCTTGTGTGCTGTGGCCAAATTAATATTACGGTGACAGGCAAAAACTTTAGAGACTGCACCGGAAATATCGGCTGTGCTGAGAACAGCCAAGAGCAACAAGATAGCAAGCTTATGTGGAGTGTCCCATACACTGACCACATACCTGTTATGAACCTTTCATCGTGAACCCTGCAATACTTAAAAAGGAGGAATAAAACTGAATTGTATCAGTAATAGGCCACTTGGTGAGTGGGAACCCTGCTTGATAATCAAATAATTGTTCTTCAAGCAAATATGTCAGACATTTTCTGGTTCCAGCTTAAATGTGAGGATTTGTCTGCTTTTCTTGGTAATTTCTTATTTTAGGTTTTTAGACTATTGGTTGGTCAATAGAAGCAATTTGCAGACGTCACTTTGGACTTCGGGAAATTATTTTTCTTTATTAAGAAGTTCTGTTTCCAAAAATATTTTTTGAATGTTAAAATGGAAGATTCCCTCTGACTACTCCCTGCAGCAAAACATGACTTCTCTAAGCATTGTTTTTCTTGACCCGTTCCTTAAGGTGGCTGCCCTACTCCATGCTTTGAGCACAGTGCACAATCACAAGAGGAAGAAAGCCCACATGGTGCAGCACGCCAAACACAAGGAGTTCCTGCAGCAGAAGGAGAAACAGGAGGAGGCCAAGCTGAAGAGACAGAAAGAGGCACGTAAAAAACTGTACCGTGTCATGGGCCAGATGGACCAGAAGAAGCAGAGGTCCAGTCTGAAAGGGTCGTCCCAGGAAAACTAACTCACTGTATCTGGACTCATGAGGCAAACCTCTGCAGACTGTGATCAAAATGCTTGGTCTGCTCTTTGGACTGTTTGCTATCGTGTGTCATAACTTTGGCAGATTCATTTTTATTGTATTTTTCTAGAAATGTGAAAATCATCTGTAAAGAAAAAGTTATTTGACTTTTGGTTTAATAAAACACAATAATGAGCTAAGAACATGACCTCAGTCTGGCCCCTTGAAGTTTTCAGCTACATATAACTGTTGTAGTGATTATTTTGTCATCAAAAAAAATGTGTGTAATTTCACTTAATGAGACAATCATTAACTAAAAGATGATCACAACAAGGTTCAGTCCTATTAACATTAAGAATTCTTAACCACTTACTTACGGGTCGTCATAGCAGCCAGGTACATTTAAATACCATAAAAATACAATAGAATAAAATACAGATAAGGTGCAAGGAACAATATTAATAGTTCCAGTATTGTTACAGCAAAGAACATGGTGCTCGCCACAACAGACTGATAAAACATCTGCAACATCCTGCTGTGTTTACCGCTATCTCTCCCAAAGAATGTCATGTTATATCTGCAACTACCCACACTCTTCTCCCTTATACTGTGCCTGCTATTCATATTCATTAGTAAGTTACAATTCTATAACACATCATACAAACATCTAATATTCATTACTTTATTTCTCTTATTAGTATTCCCTTAACAGCCCTTTATCAATGTAAGCATAATCAATGTAAGCACAAGTAAACATATTTCTATTCCAGTTAATAATCATACAGGTAAATATAAATAGTATAAATCACAGAATATCTCAACAACCTGCATCGCTGCCATCTTCTCACCCAGTAGAGCCGGACGGATGGTCTTGAAAGCACTGGAGAACTCAAAAGAACATGACTCTAACAGTGCTCGCCAGATTATCCAGATGAGTGTAGACTTTGTTCAGCAGGTAGATGATGCTGTCCTCAACTCCCAGGCGGGGTTGGTAGACGAACTGTAGCGGATCAGTGAAAGGCCTGACCATAGGCCTTAGCTGCTCCAGGACGAGCCTCTTCAGGGTCTTCATAATGTGGGACGACAGAGTCACCGTGGCGTCTTTGGCACAGGAACAAGGCAGGACGTCTTCCACAGCACAGGGACCCTCTGGAGGTGCAGGCTCAGGCTGAAGACGTGATTGAGTACTCCACACTGCTGGGGGGCACAGGCTTTAAGCACCCTGGGAAACGCACCGTCTGGGCCTGCAGTCTTGTCAGCTGTCTTCTCACCAGGTCAGGTGTGAAGGACGCTGTAGAGGTGACCAGGACCAGTCTCTCCATGACCTTCATGATGTGAGAGGTCAGTGCTACCAGCCTGTAGTCCTCCAGGCAGGATGTTTTCCAGAGCACTGGCACTCTCTGAAGGTGTAGGCTCAGGTTGAAGAGGTGCTGGAAAACTCCACAGAGCTGGCTGGAACATGCCTTCAACACGCAAGGGCTGATGCAGTCCAGTCCAGCAGCTTTCCTTTGTTTGAGCCTCTCCAGCTCTCTCCTCACCTGGCTGGATGTGATGTGAAGTCCAGTATTAGTCGGTTTGGTAAATAGATACACTTTATTAATCCCTGAAGGGAAATTGGGTACCCGGAGCTACTACAACATGCTGCCGCTAGGACGGCGCCATTTTACATACTAAAAAGTAAAAGTACCTCCTATCAATATAAATAGTACTGAAAACATTTTCAACTAAGTATGAGAGGAGGGAAACTGTAAAGGAGTCAGAAGATACAAAATGAATAAACATCAAGAAAACTTGGAGGTGACCAAGTCTGCTGAACATGGGGAAGATGGCGACCGCGGAGAAACAGCTAGTATTAACCAAAATGCTCTGCTTGAAGGTCTGACATTACTCTATAAAGAGTTGAAAGACTTTAAACAACATGTGAGGAGGGACCTGAGAGAGAAGGGAGTTTAGCCATTGAGTTTGTAAATGAACTGTTTAAAAGTCATCTTAGCCTGCCTGACGGAGTGGAGTTCTAAATTCAGCGGGCGCACAGAGCACTGATCCCAAAGCCTGCAGCTACATCATTTCCGAGATCAATAACAGTAAACTCCTTACAGTTCCACGTTAAAGAGCTGACAGAACAACAGAAGATTGAGATGAACGGCAAACGACTTTACTTCGACAACGATTACGTGAGTGACATTATGGAGAGGTGCAAGGCATACGGGCCCATCAAAGCGAAGGATTTAACTTTCTTGTCGTTGCACAGGTACAGGTACTAGGCAACGAAATGCAGATCTAACCAGAAGTGCAGAGTTATGTCTTTATGTACAAAAATATGTTTAAAAAATAAATTTATAATAACATTATTTATTTATATATATATATATATATATATATATATATATATAAAACCTTGCTTGATATCATAATTTTAGAAATATGTGGCAGCGACTTTAGTATTGTGATGAATAGTAAACTGGACTCAACAAACAAGAACAAAAGTACCAACCATGTGATTAAAGTGATTGAGAAAATATTTAAAGAATTTGGTATATTGATACTTGGAGGGAATTACACCCCTGTAAAAAAGACTACACACACTACTCAGCCGCCTAATGACAGCTATGCTAGAATTGACTATTTTTTATGACTATTTAGAATAAAGAAATGTGAAATTCAAGGAGCAGATGTATCGGATCAATGTGCAGTTTATGTCAAAGTTAAATAAATCACAGGAAAAAAGTACATTATGGAGGTTAAATGTAGGAATACTAAATAACAAATCAATAGTGGAAGAGATGAAAAAAAATACATTGCAATCTATCAAAAGGAAAATGACAATGGAGAGGTTACCCCTGTGATTTTGTGGGATGCTCCTGAAGCAGTTCTAAGAGGAAAACTTATTTCAAAGTCAGCAGCAACAAACAATGTTAAAGAGGAAGCCTGTAAAGAAGAAAAGGAGAGGCTGTTTTAAAATTGAACAACAACAACATAAAACTACACAAGACTCCTCACTGCTTCCAAGAATTTAAGAAATCAGGGATAATATAGATAAAATATTAACCACAGAAATTGAAAAGATTGAAGATTGAAGTTGCCATGCAGTGCTTACTTCCTGTTGCTAGTAGGTGGCGCTATCACTATTACTGAATATTATCACATAGACGTGTTCAGGGCGGGACTCTGATCAAACGTGAAGTTTCGTTGAGATCGGATCATGTACGCAGAAGTTATGAAAAATCGCTCTTTCATGGCGAGACGTTTAAATTCCACGCCACAGGCACGGCGGAAAGTCGTAAATAGCACAACTTTTAATCGTGAATGTCTTTAGATGGGTGTGTCCAAATCTGAAATCCAATCAATTCCCTAGGAGGAGGAGTTCAAATACAACGTGTGCAAATCACCAAAAATGGCCACTAAATCCAAAATGGCCGACTTCCTGTTGGGTTTGGGATATGGCCCCCACTGGATTTTTTGGCCGTGTGACGTCATACACTCCACTATCGCGACTGCAAACACAACATCCAGATGCATTCATCGCCATCTCCGGGGATTTCAACCACGTTACACTGGACTCCACACTGCCAGACTTTCACCAGTTTGTAAGCTGCCCCACCAGGAAGAACAGGACATTAGACCTCCTGTACACCAACGTGAGGGAAGCTTACAGTGCCACTCCTTTGCCTCCACTGGGAAAGTCTGACCATAACCTGGTCCTGCTCACGCCACAGTACAAACCACAGATCCAGAGACAGTCCATGACCAAATACTCCTTCAGGAAATGGTAGAACAGAAGCTGCAGCATAACAACATGAGGGAGGTCTGGGATGGCATGAAAACCATCACAGGCTGCAAGAAGAAGGGCAACATCACAGGAGAGGGGGATGCTGGGAGAGCAAACCAGCTAAAACTGTTTTTTAATAGGTTTGATACTCCAGCTCCCACAACCAGCGACGGCCCACTTCACACCCCCACCATGTCCATCACCTCCCCCAATGCCACCACCATGTCCATCACCACCTCAGACTGCAGACCACCCCCACCCTCCACACACATTGACAGTTCAACCCCCCTCCCCACCACCATCACCAAGGATCAGGTGAGCAGAGAGCTGAGGAGGCTTCGTCCAAAGAAAGCAGCGGGCCCGGACAGAGTAATTCCAAGGATGCTTAAAGCCTGTTCTGCTGAACTGGGGGAACCACTCCAACATGTCTTCAACCTGAGCCTACAGCTGGGGAGGGTCCCAGTGCTCTGGAAGACTTCATGTCTCATCCCGGTTCCTAAAAAAACTGCAGTTTTGATACCAAGAGAAGGTGTGCGTGGAGGATGCCATCCTCTATCTGCTCCATAGGGCCCACTCTCATCTGGACAAGGAGAGCGGTGCTGAGAGAATCGCGTTTTTTTATTTCTCCAGCGCCTTCAACACCATCCGACCGCTCCTGCTGAGAGACAAGCTGACAGAGATGAGGGTGGACCTACTCCTGGTGACATGGATTACGGACTACCTCACAGAGAGACCACAGTATGTCAGACTGAAGGGCTGCACATTAGACACTGTGGTCAGCAGCACCGGAGCACCACAGGGGACCATGATCTCTCCCATCCTCTTCACTGTGTACACATCCGACTTCCAGTACAACTCCCGGCTCTGCCACATGCAGAAATACTCAGACGACACTGCAATAGTTGGATGTATCAAGGATGGACGGGAGGGGGAGTACAGGAGCCTGGTCAAGGACTTTGTTAGGTGGTGCAGGTCCAACCATCTGCAGCTGAACACCTCTAAGACCAAGGAGATGGTGGTGGACTTCAGAAGGAAGAAACCACATCTCCAACCCGTGTCCATCGAGGGGGTCGATGTGGAGGTGGTCAGGACCTATAAATATCTGGGGCTGCAGCTGGACGACAAACTGGACTGGACAGCAAATATGGACACTTTACACAGGAAAGGGCAGAGCCGTCTGCACTTCCTGAGAAGGCTGGGGTCCTTCAACATCTGTAAAAAACTGCTGCAGATGTTTTACCAGTCTGTGGTGGCCAGCGTCCTCTTTTATGCCGTGGTTTCTGGAAGAAGGAAGGAAGCAGCAAGAAGAGAGACGCCGGTAGACTGGACAGACTGGTGAGGAGAACTGGCTCAGTGGTGGGCACAGAGTTGGACTCTGGTGACAGTGGCAGAAAGAAGGACCCTGGACAAACTTTACTGTAGCTACTGTTAATTTTATACATATCATATATATATATAATATTTTATTTTTTATTTTTAATTCTATTCTTAAGGTTAGGGTTTTTAATTCTAATTTAATGTATGTTTAATGTATGTTTTGTATTTTGTGTGCTATTGGGTTACTTGAATTTCCCTCGGGATAAATAAAGTATCTATCTATCTATCTATCTATCTATCTATCTATCTATCTATCTATCTATCTATCTATCTATCTTAAGATCTACGCGTGTGCCGATTTTTATGCATATTGGTGAATGGGGCGGATGGCACAGTTTATGGGCCCCTTAGGGGCCATTCTGCCATGCTCATAGTGGACCCCTAGAAAATATGAAATTTTTCCTAATGATTCCAGTATGTTTTAGTGCCATTTTCAAAGTATGAAGTATATTTTCATGATTATCACAATAATAGAGTATCACAATTATTTTGGCCGAGATAATCATGACATGAAATGTTCATATTGTCCCATGCCTACTTGCAACACTTCGAAAATGGCCATGGCAGTTTTTACACCTGCATTTTGAAATGTTATTAAGCCCTGTTTCCGACTTGCCATGCCATGACATGGTTGGTACCAATGGATGTGTTGGTCATCTAGTTTCATTTGAAACTAGAAACGCCACTGTCCCTGCTCCCAACTGAACACTGCTATTATTCTCTGAGGTACTGAGTGAGAATTTCCCTTTAACTATGCAGTAGGAGTGCCATTTACTGTGAAATGACGGCGGGATCTCACTGAGTGTCTTACCAAATAAACAAATGAATTATTAATACTGTAACTTTATATTTTTAAAGTTGTGCTGAAGCTTTTATTGTGAAGGACACCAACCGGAAGTGTAGATATTGACGCTCTCTGGCCACAGCTGGACCACAAGGTCCCAAATCTCCGGTTGGTCCTAGAGCTGCAGGATTAAGCACTGGGTCTTCTCACTGGTCATAGAGCGGGTTTCAAGACTCGGTCTTTGCAAGATGTCTCCGACTAACGTCATTCATCAGTCTTCTTCAGGAGGAGCGGGTAAAAACTGTCAGCCTTAGCCGTTAGCTGTTAGCCTGCACTACTGCTACAGAATGTGTCTGGTGTCATAACTTCCTGCTGTCCACTTGTTAACTTGATATTGTCGATAGCTACACCTCGTGTGAGTGTACTATTTGGCTAACTGATAAAGTGTGTGTGCACATTTAGCTAAGTTAGTTAGTTTAGCTTACGTCTCGCAGTTAAACTTGTATTAGTTGAAGTGGCTGAGTGACTATCATTGTTCAGGTCTGCATATTAGACAGTCAGTACTTTGTTCTGCCGAACCGGAATGGAGCCAGTTTGGCTTGGCTATTGTATCCCCCACAAAAAAAACATCAAACCAGATTTGTGGAAATAGTAAAGATTCCAAAATAAAGGACCGGGAGATAAAGTGTCTATAAACATGTATTTCTAAACAAAATGTAGGGTAAAATGATTCCAGTATGTTTTTGTGCCATTTTCAAGATAATCATAACATGAAATATTCATATTGTCTGTTTGGGGCCACCAGACGTAAATCATAGTTTTGACGCTGTATATTATAAGATATTATTGGCCGATATTACACATATCAGTATCAGTATTTGCTAGGTGACCCCTGTTCAAAGCAGGGTGTCCTGTGTTCTGACAAATATCTGCAAACAGTGTTGGTCTAGTTACTCAAAAAAAAAAATGTATTACTCATTACTGGCTACTCTTTTAAAAAGTAATATTCTTACTTTATCTATTATAGTAATTAGTAGGGTAGTACGCTATGGATTTTTTTTGTTCAGCTGATACGATAACCGATAATTGCTTACTACTCATTTCACATTTTTATCTTTTATATAATATTGCATTCTGTTCTAGTCAAGTGTAAGATCTTGTAGACACCTGGCGTTAACATGCGTGTTGGGTGATCCGAAGTGGACAGCTTTAAGTAAGTCAGTTTACACATGGCATTAGAATGCGTCTCCTCATGCGTCTTGAATGACCACTTGTGATGGGATCTCGCTTTCCCGCTCTAGGGTTGTACCTACTCAGAATTGTGTCAGTCAGTGTCCATTATTACATTATTACTGTTTTTTTCCCCCAGTTCAGTGGCACACTAGGCCGTTGCTTGTACCCTTCGTTTTTACCCATAGCTTTTACCTGCACTGTCAGCAGCCCTGCAGAAACCAGAGAAAATAATTAGTTTGAGTGCATGGGGGGTAGATGATGTATGCGTGCATGCTGATTCAGATGAACTCATCTTATCACTACTATAAGCTATGAAACGTGTCTATTTCCATTTCCAGGACCTTTGAAACACAGCTCCACACATTCGGAGCTCCAGTGTGTGTGTGACAGTCAGTGATGTTACGCTATTACTTGCAATGTCTAATGAATCAGATTGTCATGTGGGCTGGACATTATGCCAGACTACAGAGAGGTGACTACAGACAGAAAGAGAGAGAGAAGTAGTGCATTTTAAAATGAGTTTATTAGCTCAGTGATCGTGTTAAAAAAGTATCAATACTGATAATTGGAAAAAATTATGAATATCAGTTTTGATAATAGGCCAGGCCGATAATTCAGGGTGGGTGGTAAGTTTAAGAGTCAGTATCAGTGGGTCCTGGTCCTCAGGCCTTGTTGATGAGGATAGCTGCAGATGGAAAAAAAAACTGTTCTTGAGGTGGGGGGTTTTGGTCCTGATGGACTAGAAAGGCACTATATACATACAGTCCATTTGAATAACCAGTTGTGGAGTGTAACTATGTACATTTACTCAAGTACTGTATGTAGTACAATTTTGAGGTACTTGTACTTTACTTGACTATTGACTACTCACACATATATCCATTATACGTTACAGTTTGGGGGCAAATATTTTACTTTTTACTCCTACATTTATTTGGTTACTTCAGTTAATACTTACATTGCAGATATTAATACAAAATCTAAATTGATAAATGATGATGTGTTATTTTAAATTAAGCTAGCAGCATAGTATAATCAACATTTTAAATTTAAATTTGGTTCACCTTTACCAGCTGCAACATTCAACAGTTATAGTAATCATACAGGGTTGGTAATAAGTAAAAGTAAAAATAATAAGAAATAGGTACGTTTTTATATATATATATATATATATATATATATATATATATATATTATCACCACTGACAGGTGAAGTGAAAGGAAAAGTTGTGAACTGTGACAGGGTCATGACAAGGCTTTCTGATTCTGATACATAGGTGTCAGAATGCAGTGCAACGCCGTTTGTTGCGTATTGGGCTGCTTAGCCACAGACCAGTCAGGGTGCTCATGCTGACCCCTGTCCACTGCCAAAAGCGCCTACAATGGACACGTGAGCATCAGTACTGGACCATGGAGCAATGGAAGAAGGTGGCCTGGTCTGATTAACGTTTTCTTTTACATGTTGTGGATGTCTGCATCCGAACACATTGCCCCAGGATGCACTATGCAATGCAAATACAGGGACATGAGGACATGGATAAAATGCACCTAAACATGTAACATAAAAAAAGGGCGGCTGTGGCTCAGAGGTAGAATGGGTCGTCCACTAATTGGAAGGTTGGCGGTTTGATCCCTGGCTCCTCTCGCTGCATGTCGAAAGTGTGAACTTTGAGCAAGACACTGAACCCCAAATTGCTCCTGATGCGGTGTATGAGTGTATGAATGATTAATTTCTGTTCTGCTGAGCAGTTGGCACTTTCATGGCAGCCACTGCCATCAGTATGAATCTGTGTCAGTGGGGTGAGTGTGGCATGTAGTGTACAGTGCCTTGAGTGGTTGAAAGACTAGAAATGCGCTATATAAGTGCAGTCCTTTTACCATTTAAATGAAAAAGAAAGCAGGAAAACAAAGAAGAATGTTGAGTAGTATGGTTTTCTTGGCCACAGTTAATGCTATTATTAAAAGGAAAGTTTGGAGATGTTGTGGGACTGCGAGACAGATGGAGGGAGAAAAGAGAATGCTGAGGATCTCGGACAGAATTCCCATGACCTCCAACCTCCGGAAGTGGTTGTCTATTGCAGTGGGACAGTGTGTGCAGGTGCTGCTGTCTGTGAAGCCCATATGATACATTTTGTGAGTGGTGATGTGTACACAGTCAGTGTGTACACCTTGTATTGAATTAGTGGAACTGTTGAGTTGTGTGACATGGCAAGTTGACATGGCATAGTTTGCCAATTGATGTCAGATTGTTGCATACTTAGCTGTCCATTTGTCTATTGGTAATGAAATTGTAGTGTCATGGTGAAAGAAAAGTTTATAAATCTGTGAGAGTCATTTCTTGGGTTGAAATGAGCATAGTTTGACAAGTAAAGCAGGGGTGCTGTTGTGGAAGTTATGATCATCAATTTTCTCCTTTTAAGGTCTCTTTCAATTGTATGTACTGGTAGTGACACTGGTGAGGTAATTTGTCTGTTTGCTGGAGAAGGTCAAAGGTCATGAGAGAGCTACCATTGAAATTTGCCCCCAGGCTAGTTAGTCCTCTCCGTTTCCATGCAGGGTAGATAACAGGTTCCTTATTGATTTTAAAGATAGGAGATAGGAGTAAGAGTAGAAGGTGATAGTTTGAGGTTAAGTATTTCATTTGCTTTCCACCAGGCAGTGAGAGTGGTATTTATAGTGTTAAATTTGAAGCAGTTATGAGTAGAGGTGGGTGATATATATCGTTTGCGATAATATCGTCATTGTTGTTTTGACGATGTGCAAATTTCCATCATTGAGTATTTAAATTACTTCGCCAAAAATATTGAAACGCACGCGGAAACACCTCACATCCACTTAATACACGGTGCAGCAACACTCTCTACAGCATGGCAGGATTCAGTCACACGACTAGTGGACCTACGTGATCACATGACATGATCACATGACCTCTCGCTAGCATCCTCCTTGCAACAGTTTAGCAGCGCCTTGTGATGGTAGAGAGAAAATGCAAGCGTTTGGTGGACACAAGCCCTAACTCAGACAATTCCAATCACATTTTAAAGGATATCGACTGATTATCGTTATCGCCAGAATCCCCAAAAATAACAAGATATTATTTTTTGCCCATATCGCCCACCCCTAGTTATGAGTCTTGATTGATCTGTCTATAAATGCAATATGATGAATGGGGAGATGCTTACAGATGGTCTGTTCAATATTGAGCCAGGTAGAATTAAGATTATTTGTCCAGTTTCAAATATACTGAAGCTGGTGAGAGAGGAAATAGTAAAGAAATTAGTAAAAAATTTGGTGCATCGAGTCCGCTATATTGTTTCGGTGTTTGAAGTGTGGTTAATTTCAACCTGGACCTTTTACCTTTCCAGTCAAATGTATTTACTGCTGAACGTAGAGGAGGATTTATGGGAGTATTAACAGGAGTCATGGCAAATAAATTATTTTTGGTAGAATTTTCATTTTGACACTGGAATTACGGCCAATTGAAGAGAGTGGTAGTGTATTTCATCTATCTAGTTCTTCTTTGATGCTGTGTAGTAACGGGCTAACATTTTGTTTAAATGTGTCATTTGTATTTGTTGAGATATGGATTATGAGGTATTTGATGGATTGAGTTGTGTGGCTATAGAGTAGATCCACTAACCCCAGCACCCCAGTCAAAATGGTGTAAGGGCAGAATCTCGAAGTGTGTTATATAGAATTTAAATCCAATTAGTGAAGTGGGGACAAAGCCAAAGTGGTTTAAGGAGGTGAAGAGAAAGGGCCACCCTACCATTTTAAATGCCTTTTCTGCTTCTAAAGTTGGAATTATGGTTTAATTGTTGTGTCTCTTATGGTATTGTATAGATTAATTATTTTGAATAGCCTCTGCATGTTTTCTGAGGAATGTCTGCCTTTGATAAAACCTGAGTCTCATCCGGGTGTATAGGTGATGAAATTACAGTTTCCAGTCTTATTGCAGAAGATTTGCTTATCATTCCCTGATGGCAATAGCCTCTTTCAGCAGGATAATACGCAGTGCCACAAAGCAAAAATGGTTCAGGAATCGTTTGAGGAAAACAAGTTCAAGGTGTTTACTTGGCCTCCTCCCCAGATCTCAGTCCAATCGAGCATCTGTGGGATGTGTTGGACAAACAAGTCGGATCCATGGAGGCCCCACCTCACAACTTACAGGACTTAAAGGATCTGCTGCTAACGTGTTTGTACCAGATACCACAGCCCCCCTTCAGAGGTCTATTGGAGTCCATGCCTTGACAGGTCAGGGCTGTTTTGGCGGCAAAAGGGGGACCTACACAATATTAGGCAGATGGTCATAATGTTATTGCTGATCTGTGTATGTCCAGTGTGTGCTTTAATAAAGTCTTGGAAGCTTGGCACAAGGGTGTAACAAAAACAAGTTTCTGTTTGACTGGCTGTTAAAAAGCCAGAGCAGTATATTAACCTTCAGTATTTAATCCCATGGCAAATAAATATGAAATCCCATTTGTTTTCTTTCCAGAATGCAGATGTCCATTAGAGTCTGAGCTGCGATCAGTGCTGCAGCAAAGGATTATGGTCCTGGACGGTGGTATGGGGACAATGATCCAGCAGCATAAGCTTGAAGAGGAAGATTTCAGGGGGGACGAGTTTAAAGACCACCCTCTCCCACTGAAGGGCAACAACGACCTTCTGAGTATCACACAGCCCGATGTCATTTACAAAATACACAAGGTACTCCATCCAGGAGGTCTGTTTAGCCAGACTTTGGCTCACATACCCTGACAAATATCAGCCCTGCAGTTAATTTTACCTTCATATGTTGTGATAGTGAGACATCTGTCACCAATGAAGGTAATGGAAATTTGCTCCTGTGGCTCAAAGCAGTGCAGAATGGCATTTGACAACACGTCTTTCAATGAATAATATCCTGCTTAGCCTGGATAACCCAAAGAGCTCACTGTGGACTATTGTTCATTCAGAGAATAGTCCCTATGAAAACTGTCCACAGTGTCTAACCTTTGCTCTCTGTGTTTTGAAGGAGTATCTGCTGGCTGGTGCTGACATCATAGAAACCAACACATTCAGCAGCACCTCCACCGCCCAGGCAGACTATGGACTGGAGCACTTGGTATGATGTCTGACCCGGCTAGATCACTGGGCCGCTCATGTGGTAGTAGAAACAAAGGTCAAGTACACAGGCTGGCTCGTGTTAACCACTGATGAACACACTTTTTAGAACTAGACCTGTCCCCATTTCTGCATACAACTGTACACTTTTTACCTAGTTCTGTGACCTTGCTATTATCTCCACCTGACAGAATCTTCCCTGTATTCAGCAGGCGGGACACATATGCTCTTGTCATAATAAACCTCATTCCTTTAAAAAAGAACTAACAAGACATTTAACTATTTGTCTATTTTACACTATTTATTCAACCTTCCTAAGTCCCCCCCTTTTTGCTTTGTCCTCCAATAACAGTTGAGCAAGCCTCTGTCAGAACCTCTTTTAACTACCTCCTGTCCTGTACTTAGATATACAATATATAATTTAATAAAAATGACTTTTATATACAGTGGGTACGGAAAGTATTCAGACCCCTTTAAATGTTTCACTCTTTGTTTCATTGCAGCCATTTGCTAAAATCAAAAAAGTTCATTTTATTTCTCATTAATGTACACTCAGCACCCCATCTTGACAGAAAAAAACAGAAATGTAGATTTTTTTGCAAATTTATTAAAAAAGAAAAACTGAAATATCACATGGTCATAAGTATTCAGACCCTTTGCTCAGTATTGAGTAGAAGCACCCTTTTGAGCTACTACAGCCATGAGTCTTCTTGGGAATGATGCAACAAGTTTTTCACACCTGGATTTGGGGATCCTCTGCCATTCTTCCTTGCAGATCCTCTCCAGTTCTGTCAGGTTGGATGGTGAACGTTGGTGGACAGCCATTTTCAGATCTCTCCAGAGATGCTCAATTGGGTTTAGGTCAGGGCTCTGGCTGGGCCAGTCAAGAATGGTCACAGAGTTGTTCCGAAGCCACTCCTTTGTTATTTTAGCTGTGTGCTTAGGGTTATTGTCTTGTTGGAAGGTAAACCTTCGGCCCAGTCTGAGGTCCTGAGCACTCTGGAAGAGGTTTTCTTCCAGGATATGTTTGTACTTGGCCGCATTCATCTTTCCTTCAATTGCAACCAGTCGTCCTGTCCCTGCAGCTGAAAAACACCCCCATAGCCTGATGCTGCCACCACCATGTTTCACTGTTGGGATTGTATTGGGCAGGTGATGAGCAGTGCCTGGTTTTCTCCACACATACCGCTTAGAATTAACGCCAAAAAGTTCAATCTTGGTCTCATCAGACCAGAGGATCTTATTTCTCATAGTCTGGGAGTCCTTTGTGTGTTTTTTGGCAAACTTTATGCAGGCTTTCATATGTCTTGCACTGAGGAGAGGCTTCCGTCGGGCCACTCTGCCATAAAGCCCCGACTGGTGCAGGGCTGCAGTGATAGTTGACTTTGTGGAACTTTCTCCCATCTCCCTACTGCATCTCTGGAGCTCAGCCACAGTGATCTTTGGCTGGACGGCCAGGTCTAGGAAGAGTTCTGGTCATCCCAAACTTCTTCCATTTAAGGATTATGGAGGCCACTGTGCTCTTAGGAACCTTGAGTGCTGCAGAAATTCTTTTGTAACCTTGGCCAGATCTGTGCCTTGCCACAATTTTGTCTCTGAGCTCCTTGGGCAGTTCCTTCGACCTCATGATTCTCATTTGCTCTGACATGCACTGTGAGCTGTAAGGTCTTATATAGACAGGTGTGTGCCTTTCCTAATAAAGTCCAATCAGTTTAATTAAACACAGCTAGACTCCAATGAAGGAGCAGGACCATCTGAAGGAGGATCAGAAGAAATGGACAGCATGTGAGTTAAATATGAGTCTTAAATAAGGGTCTGAATACTTATGACCATGTGATATTTCAGTTTTTCTTTTTTAATAAATTTGCAAAAAATTCTACATTTCTGTTTTTTTCTGTCAAGATGGGGTGCTGAGTGTACATTAATGACAAATAAAATGAACTTTTTTGATTTTAGCAAATGGCTGCAATGAAACAAAGAGTGAAATTTTTAAAGGGGTCTGAATACTTTCTGTACCCACTGTATAGTCACAGCTAATGTTATAAAACATAGCTAACTAGTTAACTAATGATTGATTTTAAATTGGTTAGCTAGTTAGATTGTGTTTTGCTAACATTAGCTTTCAGATGTAACTACCTACCTACCTAACTTTAGCAAGATGTCACTCTCTCTTGTCTTCTGAAAAATGTAGACAGGTGTTGTTGTCTTTGTTGTGCAGGCTTATCGCCTCAACAGGGCATCGGTGGCGCTGGCGAGAAAGGCAGCCGACGATGTCACCAAACAAACTGGTTAGCTGAATTCTTAGCTTTACAGCAGCATGTTGTGGTGATAAATGTATAATCCCAGCCTCTCTGGGAATATATGTGTGTAAAATCGACTCTAAACTGTGTGTTATCAGGTTGTAAACGCTATGTGGCCGGGGCAGTGGGTCCCACCAACAGAACCCTGTCTGTATCCCCGTCTGTGGAGAGACCTGACTTCAGAAACATCAGTAAAATGACTTTTATTATTATATTTTTACTATGTACATTGTAAAGTAACTGAATGATTTGGGAGACAAGCGTTAGAGGCCAGGAACATAAAGGATTATAGATTCTGATTGTTTCAAGGTCATAACATTATGACCACCATGGTGTCCAAGTGCCCGATACTCAATAAACTGTGATGCACTGTGTGTTCTGACACCTTTCTATCAGAACCAGAATTAACTTTTTCAGCAGTTTTAGCTATAGTAGCTTGGCTTCTGTTGTATCGGACCCCACGGGCCAGGATTCACTCCACACTTGCATCAATGAGCATTGGACGCACAGCGGTCAAAATGATGACAAAGTATCCTTGAGCAAGATACTGAACCCCAAATTTCTCCTGATACTGTGCATTGGTGTGTAAATGTATATGAATGAGTTAGTTTCTGTTCGATGGGCTTTGCCATCAGTGAGTGATTGTGTCTGAAAGGTTGAATGTGGCATTTATTGTAAAAGCGCTTTGACTGGTCGGAAGACTGGAAAGGCACTATACAAGTACAGGTCCATTTACCATTTACCAACATGCAGTATAATAGCAATGTAATGTACTGTATGTAATGTTTGTGTGTGTCTTTGTGTTTTTCCCAGCATTTGATGCACTTGTAGAGGCCTACTCAGAACAGGTCAGAGGTTTATTAGATGGAGGCGCAGACATCCTTCTGGTTGAAACCATCTTTGACACTGCCAACGCTAAGGTAGCTCTCACTTGATACACTTACAATTCAATAGAATTCACAATACTGGCTTCACAAAATGATTTTCTCATGACAAAACAAATTGTGTCTGAAATGGATTCCTTTATTACTCAGACAAGTCTACAAAATATATTTTCTCTTAATTTTCTTTATACTTTTTATTTATTTCTGAGGTAAATATAAACTGTGCAAAACAAGGCCTATTTCCTTTTCATTGTAAACGTGAAATATAACCCTCTCAACTACAGAAAAAGGCCTCATATCTCTTGCCATATCTTCTTACCTTTTTTATTTTCTGATTTAGGGAAGCCAAAAACTATTAGCATCACAATTCTTTTTTCATCTCACCAATTTGAATCTTCAAATCCTCAGAAAAGCTGAAGTTGAGAGGAAGGGGTTAACGTTTTCAGTCTGACTGGGTATACTGTAAGAGGATGTAATGTCAATTTGATACATTTACATATGTGATTTAATCAAATTAACCACACCAAATCATGAATTTTACTAAAGTCAAAGGCTGAGATAGCAGTTACTGGTAATCTGCTAAACTAAGCTAGTTACTTGTGTTATAGTTTTCATTCTCTAAGACTGAGTTTAGCTGCTGGTTTAGGGATAACAAACTAAATTACCATTGTATTAGTTTCTCAAAAGTGATCAACTTGTGGTCAACAACAGGAAACGGCTAGCTGGGAAAAGTAAGTGAATGTGGCCTTAGCTAGCCGTGGCCAATAACTGGATTTGGCTCTCTTGCTTTAGCGCAATAGTTGAGTTGTTTGGCTTTTAGATGAGTTTTTTGTAACTTCACATTCAAAAGGCTTTTTTTCCCTTTGAAATTATAATTTTCTATGGCTTAAAGTCAAGTTATTTTATATCCCATGACCAGAAACAACAAATTTGCCTCAAGGGATACCCTCAGATACTGATTTTGACTAACTAATTTGGCTTAGTATGGCAGAATTTTCATTGAGAGTGTTCATGGAAAGATATTATGATACATTTGGGGGCAGTACCTCATTGAAGCCACAGTTATTGGTGTTGATTTCAATTTAAGCAGACCTTTAGGCACTATATAAGACACTTATCTCATTCTTTGTTAATTTATACACTTATACTATATACACTACCAGTCAAAAGTTTGGACACACCTTCTCATTTAATGGTTTTTCTTTATTTTCATGACTATTTACATTGTAGATTCTCACTGAAGGCATCAAAACTATAAATGAACACATATGGAATTATGTAGAAAACAAAAAAGTGTGAAATAACTCAACATGTTTTATATTTTAGATCCCTCAAAGTAGCCACCCTTTGCAGGGCTCCAGAGTGCGACCAAAATTTTTAAGAGCGCGACTAATAATTTGGTAAACTGGTGCACCTGACACTGCCCGGGTGAAAACATAACACAATTTATTCCGCAAGCGCATCATCTCTCTGTGTTCTCCTGTGACCGAACCGCACATAAGAGACAGCCCTCGGTCCCTGGTGAGATGCCAAGCCCCAGTCCTTCGGCGACAGCATCAGACTCGGAACCAGAGGAGGAGACAACCGAGTCTGGGATAGAGCCCGGCTCCGAGACCCAAATTAAAAAGGCTGAAACAATTTCCCTGTCTGAGGTACAACAAAGGACGTAGCGCAATGCACTGCGTGTACTCTCAGGAGTGCGGTCAGAATATGGCCGGAAATAGTGCATTTGTGAGCGGGTCAACAATGTTCCGTATCGAAACTTTAAAAAAACCTTACATGTCTAAAAATACACGATATGCCGTGACAAGTGTGTAGAGAAAGTGGCCCCTCTCCCAGGTGCATTTCAGCGGCAGGTGGTAGTAATCATTATTATTATCATTAATAATTATTTTACTTGAAATGTTTGAGTTTGAAATGTTCAATTTCAGTTCAGTGAAGCACTTTAAACACTTTCTTTTTCTTTTTATATATAATTGTGCTTCAAATAAAGACAAGCATTTCTCTACACCTTATTCCTGTTTAAAAATCATTCACATTATATGAAAGTTATGGAGAGCAATAAAAAGGTGACCTTATGGCGTTAAAGGCAACGCAATGAAAAATTTGGGTGCACCTAAATTTTGTGCTGGTGCACCTAAAAAAAAAAAAAAAAAAGTTAGGCACCAGTGCAAAAAGTTAGTCTGGAGCCCTGCTTTGCTTTGTTGACAGTGCTGCAAACCCTTGGCTTTCTCTCAATGAGCTTCATGAGGTAGTCACCTGAAATGGTTTTCACTTCACAGGTGTGCCTTGTCAGGGTTCATTTGTGGAATTTCTTGCCTTCTTAATGGGGTTGGGATCATCAGTTGTGTTGTGCAGAAGTCAGGTTGGTGCACAGCTGACAGCCCTATTTGATAACTGTTAGAATTCATATTATGGCAAGAACCAATCGGCTAAGTAAAGAGAAACGACAGTCCATCATTACTTTAATAACTGAAGGTCAGTCAGTCCGGAAAATTGCAAAAACTTTGAATGTGTCCCCAAGAGCAGTCACAAAAATCATCAAGTGCTACGACGAAACTGGCTCACATGAGGACCGCCTCAGGAAAGGAAGAGCAAGAGTCACCTCTGCTGCTGAGGATAAGTTCATCCGAGTCACCAGCCTCAGAAATCACAAGTTAACAGCACCTTAGATTAGAGCCCAGATGAATGCCACACAGAGTTCTAGTAGCAGACACATCTCCACATCAACTGTTCAGAGGAGACTGCGTGAATCAGGCCTTTATGGTCAAATAGCTGCTAAAAAACCACTACTAAGGAAAAGCAACAAGCAGAAGAGATTTGTTTGGGCCAAGAAACACAAGGAATGGACATTAGACCAGTGGAAATCTGTGCTTTGGTCTGATGAGTCCAAATTTGAGATCTTTGGTTCCACCCGTCATGTCTTTGCGTGACGCAGAAAAGGTGAACGGATGGTCTCTACATGCATGGTTCCCACCGTGAAACATGGAGGAGGAGGTGTGATGGTGTGGGGGTGCTGTTGGGGATTTATTCAAAATTGAAGGCACACTGAACCAGCATGGCTGCCACAGCATCCTGCAGCATTATGCCATCCCATCCGGTTTGCGTTTAGTTGGACCATAATTTATTTTTCAACAGGACAATGACCCCAACACACCTCCAGGCTGTGTAAGGGCTATTTGACCAAGAAGGAGAGTGATGGAGTGCTGCGCCAGATGATCTGGCCTCCACAGTCACCTGACCTTAACCCAATCGAGATGGTTTGGGATGAGATGGACTGCAGAGGGAAGGCAAAAGGGCCAACAAGTGCTCAGCATCCCTGGGAACTCCTTCAAGACTGTTGGAAAACCATTTCAGGTGACTACCTCATAAAGCTCATCGAGAGAGTGCCAAGAGTGTGCAAAGCAGTAATCAAAGCAAAGGGTGGCTATTTTGAAGAATGTAAAATATAAAACATGTTTTGAGTTTTTTTACACTTTTTTGTTTACTACATAATTCCATATGTGTTCATTCATAGTTTTGATGCCTTCAGTGAGAATCTACAATGTAAATAGTCATGAAAATAAAGAAAAACCATTAAACGAGAAGGTGTGTCCAAACTTTTGACTGGTAGTGTATATAGTATTAGTCCTTGTGCAGAGCTTTATAGTGATGGTTAACCTTTGATGAAATTGTTTATAAGAGGGCCTGTGTTGTACAATTTTAATGGACACCTGCCACCAATTAGAAAAGGGTATTTGCTGTTCGTAGATTATGTAACCTGATGTTGTATGTACAATGATTGATGTCTCTATCTATGTGTGTTTCCTCCGTCAGGCTGCCTTATTTGCCATTGACCTGCTGTTTGAAAAGGGCAATGAAAGAAGACCTATATTTGTACGTCCACAATATTGTGTTCATAATTTCATCATAATTTTTTGGTTTATGCATGGGGTGGAGTGGTTGTAGTGGTTCGGTTTGCAGATATGCAGCTAATGTATAAATGCATGCTTGTATGTAAGTGAAAAATATGTTTTATTATATTATTATTATCATAGTATTTATTCTATATTTTCCACAGTTACAATTACACAAAGCAACTATAAATCCAGTTTCATGCCCACTATCTCAGATGTCTTGGGGCTTACCAAGGACGAATGTGTTATGGAGGGTTTAGTTATTTTAATACCCTACTTGCCGTCTTGTCCCACTCCCACATAGATCTCAGGAACCATCGTTGACCGGAGCGGACGGACTCTGTCCGGTCAGACAGGAGAAGCCTTTGTAGTGAGTGTATCCCATGTTAAACCTCTATGGTGAGTTACTATATAAGAAAACAGTGACATGACATTAGAGTTCTGACAATAACTGTAAACCATTACATCCACTACTCCCTCTCTGTTTTGCAGTATTGGTCTGAATTGTGCCTTGGGGGCGATAGAGATGAGGCCGTTCATTGAGGCTATAGGAAAAAGCACCACAGCTTTTGTTATCTGTTATCCCAATGCAGGTAACCCACACTCACGACATATATTTAGCAGCATTACAGTCAATAACTAATTAATAATTGTTTTGAAAAAGCCACTAGAAATTGGAGATTTAATCAATTGGAGATTAATGAAACGACTAGTGTGTGGGATTTAGCAATTTTTAAATCATCACAAAGTGGAAACAAGATTTAAGGAATTATCCTTATAATTGCATTTTAAATGTTGTCATTGAAAAATAGAATAAGGAAATTCAAAATAGTGGAATTTTTTGTTAGAATTTGAATTTATTTTTGCATTATACATGTAATAGATTTTTAAAATCAGGTTCTTATTTTTTTCTGATTATACATCATCACTAAACACCATAATAGTTCCATTGCACACAGACTTTATACCTGAGTGCTCTGACCTCTATACGGTGCATATAACTCTCCAAATTTAAGGCATGATTTACTATATATTTCTATATATTACAAATTCACTAGCTTTGAATGTAATGCAGTCTTTTGGGGCAGTGCATGTTAACACACTGTCTAAATGTGTCCCTTTAGTTAACTTGAAATGACTGTGCTGTTCTTTCCAAGCAACTGTGCCCTTATTTATGTTGCACCATGTTGATTATGTAATGATCTTTGTCTGTGTCTTATCTTTGTTCTGTTAGGTCTTCCAAACACGTTTGGAGAGTATGACGAAACTCCACAAGTAACAGCTTCTAATTTGAAGGTTCTATTCTATTTTATTATGTTTTTGTTTTGATGTTAAGATTATCATCATTGCTAATATAGCTAAAATCACCATGTGGAGAAACAGTTGATATTGAGGGGGATATCATGGCCCTTATGCTCCTGAAAAAATCCTAGAAACAGGAACCATTCTTTTTTTTCAGTTTGTCAGATGTGAGAACATGGCACATTGTTTTAGTTGAATTTATCACTTTGAATGATTGTAAACTTAAGGGACTGGTCATGGACGACATTTTGCTCTTTTATTGTTTCTTTTCTTTCTTCCTTTCTCTGTTGGTTTTGTGTTGGATTATGGAATGTAATTCCCCCACCCCCAACAATTATCTTGAAAAAGAGAAACTGGCCTCAAAAGACCACCCAGGACAAATAGAAGTTGCAAAAATGTGTGCTAAGTAAGTCAAGCTGATCCTGGCTGCCTTATTGCTGCAACTCAGTTTTTCTTCTAACTTTTGTCTGCAGGAGTTTGCTATGGATGGACTAGTGAATATTGTGGGAGGCTGTTGTGGGACCACTCCAGGACACATCAGGTCACTGTCATATTTCTGACAAGAACATGTTTGACTTAAATTTCATGCAAGTTTGAAAATTTTAAAATATTTTCCCCTCCCCTCCTTCCTCATCATACAGAGCCATATCTAAAGCAGTCAAACATTGCCAGCCAAGGGTTCCTGCTACTGATGTTTATCAAGACTACTTGCTGCTGTCAGGTATTAAAACCTGAGTAATGAGTGAGAATTTCATGTCTAAACTAGTACATTTCTGGTGGTTCTGGTTGATAATGAATATAAATTAATGAATTTATTATGTTTATCAGAAAACTTGAAATACAGAAATTTCTCAAACTTATTTATTTACCTATGCTACAGGAAGAACCAGGCCCTTATTTGGCAGACCTTGATTTTTTTATTTGGTGTTGGTGCAAACACTTCCTTCTTCTTTACCTGTCTCTTGATCAATTCAGTTTAAAAACATTTGTGTTCACTTTTGTGAAGGAGGGGTTAGGGTAGGCTAGGTGATTAAATCGTAATTGATCAAGTTCCTTGGAGACCTTAAAGCCTCACACAGCAGTATTGAAGCTCAGTTGAGCACAATAGAGATCATCAGTACAAGGAGAGTCACTGTAGATAGATGCCAACCTAATTCTGAAGGTTACCTCCTGACGGGTGATATTTAATACAAACTTAGACCCACAAGACCTACTAGTGTCCCAGATATGGTCATAACTTATCTAACTAAACATATGTGAAGATCCAATTGGGTATTGATTCAAAGCAAGGAACTATGCCTACTTAAGTTATCCTAAATCAATGACACTCAATAATCACGTACAATGCATTCTTAGAAGGAGACAGTAAGATTTACTTCTAAACCTTAGAATTCATTAACAAATTAGAACTACGAAATGTTGGGTGCTCAGTGTTTAACCTTATCAGCCTCTGTGTAGTGTAGTCCGACAGATTTTCAGAAGGTCATGAGTCAACTTTAAACAGCAGTCATGTTATACACACCACTTTGCTCCTGTGAGTTTCTCTTCCCTCATTGTTAAGTTACTGTCAAAATATATTATAAATAATATTTAACAAAACGCTTCCTATTTGGCCGTTTCCTATTAAAAACCTTCTAGTAACAACTGATATAGAACTGATATACTACTGTACCGCCCCCCCCCCCACCACCACCCCTTTATCCTTTTTGTTGGTTTGTTTTGTTGTTGTTTTTTTTGTTGTATATGTTTTGTTGTTGTTATCAAAATATTAATTAAAAAAAAATGTTTCATACATGTTGTTGACAATGTTTGTGTTTTTATTTTTAAAAAGTGGTTTAAAAACAGTGGTGCTGAATAAATTTTGGCTAATGTAACTGCAGGATGTTAATGTCAATGGTCTTTCTCATTTCTAGGTCTAGAGCCATTCAAGATTGGCCCTTACACCAACTTTGTTAACATTGGTGAGCGCTGCAACGTGGCTGGGTCACGCAAGTTTGCCAAGCTGATCATGGCAGGAAACTATGAGGTGAGTCAGTTTTTAAGTAATTTGTAATTTTCTGAAATTGCAGTCAAAGTTCTAGGTTGCATATGTGTTTATGCAGTATGTGCTTCTCTGTTTGTTGTCTAGGAGGCTCTAAGCATTGCTAAGGCCCAGGTGGAGATGGGGGCCCAGGTCCTGGACATAAACATGGATGAGGGGATGCTGGAGGGGCCAACAGCTATGGCCCGATTTTGTAACTTAATTGCTTCTGAACCAGACATTGCACGGGTAAAACATTTAACGCCAGTGGAATTGATTGGATGTTGAGACAAAAAGACATAGAGATGCTACTGAGATCAACTACAATAACAACAACAACTATGATAATAAAAATTGAAATATTACTACTACTAATAATAATATCAGTGGGCGTGGCAGAAGGCACAACCATGATCCGTGGAAACTTGGGAAGAAGCTAAGTTGGTAACATGCATTAATGGGACATGAATGTGTACAAATAGACAGGGAGAGGAGGAGAGAGGAGTTCACTGCATCATGGGAAGTCCCCTGGCAGTCTAGGCCACAACTAAGGGATCGTTCACAACCCTAACTATAAGCTTTATCAAAGTATCAAAGAGAAACGTCTTACTGTAAGCCTACTCCTAAATGTAGTCTACTTGCTAATTAGCTAATGTCAGCGTGCTAACATGCTAACCAAGATAGTGAACATGGTTAACATTGTATGTACTAAGCAGCATGTTAACATTGTCATGTGAGCAAGTTACCATGCTGATGTTAGCATTTAGCTCAAAGCATTTAGCTGTGCCTAAGTACAGCTTTACAGAGCTGTTATCATGGCTGTATATCCGTTGTCTTGTAATTTGACAAATCTGATTGCCGACCAAATGAGTAGTGCATCCCTTTGAATCAGGGGCGTTTGTGTGGTGCCAGCCAGTGAGTACAAACGTTTTTTTTAATTAGAATATTATGTTTCCACTTCAATGTTGGGGCTTTTACAACATTACCTATGTTATCATCTTCAGTTGTGTGCTTACATTGGAAAATGCTTTGTTAAGCATATGAACCAGTTAATAACTAACCTATGAATGACTCTGCTCAGAAAATCAGAAAGAGGCCCTGAGCCTCTCCCTTTCCTCCCCAGGTTCCTCTGTGTATTGACTCTTCCAACTTCTCAGTGATTGAGGCCGGGTTGAAATGCTGTCAGGGGAAGGGTATAGTCAACAGTATCAGTCTCAAGGAAGGAGAGGAGGAGTTCTTGCTCAGAGCTGCCACTGTGAAGCGCTACGGAGCAGCTGTGGTGGTCATGGCCTTTGATGAAGAGGGACAGGTAAGGAGGCAAACAAACACGCACACTCACACATAACACAATCATATGTGCTCACGAGTCTGCTGTCCTTTCAAGGCCACAGATACAGACCGTAAAGTGGAGATCTGCACTCGGGCCTACAAACTGCTGGTCAGCAAAGTGGGATTTGACCCAAACAACATCATCTTTGACCCCAACATCCTCACCATTGGTACAGGCATGGAGGAACACAATGAGTACGCTGTCAACTTCATCAGAGCCACCAAACTTATCAAGGTAATGCACCTGTTAGTCCCAAGAACAATTAATGCAAATTCAACCGATCCTTATTATCCATTATCTGCAGATTGTGTCTGTCCCAGAGCATGTGAGCAGAGAGGAGCATATTTCCGCTCTTTGCCCCATGGAGCTGTTTGTTCTCTCTGTTCACTTGTTCAAAGCCTCTCAGCGCTTCTCCACTCAAAATCACACCTCGCTCAACTCAGATTTCACCACCGCTCCACTAAAATCGCTAACAGCTCATTCCAGAAAATTAAAAAAGCCGTGTTGTTCATTGTTAACAGTTTAAGGTTTTCGAAACTCTACCTAAAAAAAACTCAACATCAACTTAAATAACCAGTTAATTTATAGTGGTTGTTTGGCACTCTACACAGCCTCGGAGGAAGCAACCAATACTGAAAGAATTCAGGGCAAAAAAACAGGTTCTGGTTCAAGTACCTGGCTAGCTTTATGGACAAACTACTGGTTACCAGCTATAACAGGAATGCGCATCAACTCATGTTCAGTAGGTCATAATTACCTAGCAAAATAAAACCATATGCTCATAGATGTATTTTTTATTCTTATTGGAATTATTTTCAAATACTTATTTAAAAGGTTATTAGAGTGCTAAAAAACAATTGTTATTTTGTCCTGCCTTGTAATTTCAATTTAAACTGAATTTACTAGGTTATTAATCGTCATTGGGGAAACCCTTTACACTGCTAGAGGCCCTGAAATACACAAGCATTAATTGGAGAGATGGTCAGGTCCTTTTGGGCCACAATAATCACAACAAGAATTGAAAACCAGGTTGGACTGCCTCATACATTGTGTGTGTGTGTGTGCGTGTGTGTGCGTGTAGGAGACATTACCAAGCGCCAGGGTGAGTGGAGGTCTATCCAACCTTTCTTTCTCCTTCAGAGGGATGGAGACCATCAGAGAAGCTATGCACGGAGCATTTCTCTACCACGCTATCAAGGTAAACACGGCAACAGAGTTCAAAGAAAGAAATACGTAAGTGTGGTTTATTGTAAATGATCTGGAAATACCCCAAATTATATTACATTAATTAATTTTCAGTTAAACTATTAAAATCATGATGATGTGCAGTTCTTTGGGATCTATAAAAAGCAAACATGTTATCTTTAATCTAGAGAACAAGATTTGTAGACCACGGCATCTCTGCAGCACTACAGTACTTCATTATAATGCTGTTTGTCACACATTTTACCTTCTATCAAAAAGTTGCAGCTTATACAATTTGATATTTCACTTGGCCATATTGCAAACACCCATTTTATGACAAAAGTCACTGAAACAACTTTAAACAAAGACTAGGTTGAAAACAAAATAAAAATTTGTTGATGCCACACAATGTGTGTCCTCTGTTACGTTTCAGGATGGTATGGATATGGGGATAGTGAATGCTGGGAACCTGCCAGTCTATGACAACATAGATAAACAGCTGCTGTTACTGTGTGAAAACCTCATCTGGAACAGAGACCCAGATGCTACTGAAAAACTACTGGCCTATGCACAGGTACACACATACATAGACCAGATTATTGTTGCTTTAGTTTGGTTGTTGAATCAAAATCTGCTGTTCACAGAACAATGTGAAAGGAGAGAAGAAGGTGGTTCAGACAGATGAGTGGAGAGAAGGAAGTGTAGAGGACAGGTTGGAGTATGCACTCATTAAGGTAAGATATTTGATGATTACTGTAAATTAGGATAGGATTTTAAGTTCTCCCAGAACACCTCTACATACTGGTATTACTGACATTTAAATGGCTTTTCTTCAGCTACACTAATCAAAATGCTATGACACAGAGAATCATGGTCCTCATGTTGAACCGCCATGTTTATACAGTAGCACAGAATGGACAAAGCAAACACCGGCTTTTGTGTTTCTTGTGAGTTTTGCAGCCACTGTAATTTGTACTACACACTTGCTTATGGGAGGGTGAGGTGAGGGGGCTGTAACATGCAATTACACCGCTAGATGCCGCTAAATCCTACACACTGGTCCTTTAATCATCAGTTGAATTCAGTCAAAGTCTTCCTTTGCTGCACTCCAAGTCTTGTTGGATGATAATGGATTTACTGAAAAATAAAGAGGTCCCTAAAAGTGCTGGAATATAGCCTCTGATACCATCAGCTCCATGCCAAGCTTGATACACTTTCTTCTATAAGTTCCCCAATATTATGCATAACCATGAAGATGAATAAGTAAGGTGTGAAAGTCCATATCATATCAAAATATGTTGATTTGTTTTACAGTGGTAAAAATTCTGAAAAAAGTGTGCATTTAGGCCAGGCACCAACATTAAATAGCCATTATAGTTGAACATTTTATTTTCTCAAAATGACATTTTGCTTACACTAAAAACCAGAAATCAAAAGATTCGTACAGCCACCAAATGTTACTCACGGATTAAGAAATATCTTTTTTAATTTTCATTTTATACATCATTGAAAAAGTGCCCAAACAACATACCAACAAATGTTCTCTTATTTTTGACTTAGGCTTATTTTGTTATTTTGATTTCTAGGATTCACCAATGTTTTCATATTTTTCCTTTTTAGGCAAGAGAACTTGTGTGTGTATGTGTGTATATGTATGTGTGTATATGTATGTGTATATATGTATATGTGTATATATAAATATGTATGTATATATGTATGTGTATATGTGTGTGTGTATGTATGTACACTATATGGACAAAAGTATGTGGCCACACTTGTTAATTCTTCAATTCAGGTGTTCCAATCAGACCCTTTGCCACAGGTGTATGAAGTCAAGCACCTAGCCATGCAGTCCCCATTTACAAACATTTGTGATGCAAAATGGGTTGTCCTAAATAGCTCAGTGACTTCAAGTGTGGTACTGTGATAGGATGCCACCTTTGCAATAAGACTGTTCGTTAAATTTCATCCCTGCTGGATATTCCACAGTCAACTGTAAGTGATATTATTAGGAATTTGAAGCGTTCTTGGATTTTTGACGTTTCATCCTGGATAGTGGCCTTGATGCTCACTAGTCCTCGGCCTCCCTCTTTCCGCTTAGCGTACAGTCTCAGGGTGCTAGATTTGGGGTGAAACCCTCCGTGCATGGTGAGGAGCTTTCTTGTCTTGATATCTGTGGCTTCTATATCCTCCTTTGGCCAGCTTATGATGCCAGCGGGGTATCTGATGACTGGTAGTGCGTACATGTTGATGGCTTGGATCTTGTTCCTGCCATTCAGCTGACTTTTCAGGACCTGCCTTTCTCCCTGGAGGTATTTGGTTGTGGTTGACTTTCTTGTGGCTTCCTCATGGTTTCCATTAGCCTGTGGGATACCAAGGTACTTGTAGCTGTCTTGGATATGGAGAGAAAAAAAGAGAGATTTTGAGAAGACAAAAATATATTTTTATTAAATAACATTTGAAAAACCTGTATTAACTGAACACCAAAGAACAATATTAACTATGCAAATTATTAACAATATACCTAAGTAAAATAAATAAATAGCCAAAGCTATAACACTTCTGTTTTCTTTGTAACAAAATACTGTTGAAAAACAAACCGAACTAACACACAAGTGGATTTGACTCCACTGAGAGGCTCTGCACTATTCTGTAATGCTGCACCTCTTTATCCATCACTTCAGACAAAGGCTTGGATGACGATGCCTGTTCCATTCAAAAGATGTCTCCAAGCAGTTCAGCCATCTGTGCTCTTTTGGCTGGAGGAGGACAGTCACTGCTGCTGGAGGCTATCTCTGATTGCTCCTCTGTCTCCTCCCTGGAAGTCTGGGCCTAACAGACAAAATCCATAACACAATTGCAGCATAATGTTAGATACAATGGAGGATATGAAATCCAGGACAATTACACGAATAAAGCTAGTTTAATAAAGTTAAAAAAAGCATTTATTATCTGACTATATTTAAATACTGACTTTAATTAAATAGGCCTAACTGATTTACACAGCACTTTATTTAATTATATTAATATTAAAACAATCAAATACCGAACAGTCTGTGAACAATCTTCCAGAATTCTCTCAGTCAGACTCTTGAAGATTGTGTCATGGGTGGTCTCATCAAGGAAAGGTAGAGATTTGAAACGGGGGTCTAGTGCAGTGCTCATATGAAGAAACTAAATTAGTGGCCTATCCGTATCAGGGTATCTGTCCTCGAAGTCATGTGCAATAGCAGCTTTGATGTCTTTCATTACTGTTGAGTCAGAGCCACTGTGCTTCATGGAGGCCAGGAGTTTGTGTTTCAATGGCACGATCATTGAAATAGTTGGCATCTGCTCAGTGCTCATGAGGGTCATCACGGTTTTCAAAGGTTTAAGAACCTGGACCATGTCCTCAGCTAGTTTCACATCATCATCAGACAGAGTGACGATGTCTTTAATGTTCTTCTTGACACTCTTGTCTGTTAATGCTGAGAAAACAGCAGCCTGCTGCTCAAGGTCGCGCTCGAGCATGTCGTGGCTCGAGTTCCACCTAGTAGCCACATCCTGGACCAGCTTGTGTAAGGGCAGCTGTAGCATCACCTGTTTCTCCTTCAACACAGCTGCAGCTGTTGTGCTGCGGTGGAAAAACGTGACCACTTTCCTCACTCTGCGGAGGAGTTGGGACATCGGGTGAACGCCCATCCCTCTCTGCGCAGCCAGATTAACAGTGTGAGCAAAGCATCGTATATGCCGTGAAAATCCGGCTGCTTCGACAGCATTGGCAATATTTCTGGCGTTGTCTGTTGTCACGGGAACGGGGACGTTTGATCTGCTGATCTTCCAATCTATCACAGCCTCTTTAAGTATTCCCGATAAATGGTCGCTTGTATGGCTCTCATACACCACGCGTTTGGAGGACGGGGTTTGCTATTTCCCAATTGCCCGTAATATAGTGTGCGGTAATGGTTATATAGCTGTCTGTGGCACGGGACGTCCATCCATCGGTGGTGATAGCGATGGATTCAGCAGCACTCAACCCTTCCTCCACTTTAGCCTTTGTTTTCTCCAGAAGTTTTGGTAGCACATTTTGAGAGAAATGCGCCGAGCTTGGTAATGCATAACGGGGCTTGAACACACTAAGTAAATACTTGAACCCCTTGTTTTCAACAACTGAAGAGGGGCGCATATCCAGTGCCATAAAAATTCCAATTGCATTTGTAATTTTTTGTGCTCTTTCTGAATTGGCTGGAAACTTTGCTTGGAATAAACTAGGCACTGTAGGCTGCTGCTGTTGGGTTGTTTTCTGTGCTCCAGCTAAATTGGGGATGGTGCCGTAGGATATGTATCTGCATGTTGGACGTGTTGCCTGTCAGTTGGGGAAGCTTCTTAAAACACTTACGGCAAATTGTGTGGGTCTTGTCGACTACACGATTGCCATCCTTGTTCTCCACCGGGTAGCCGAAATGTTGCCATACTGCTGACTTTTTGACGTATTGGGAGGGTCCGCAATCTCTGGGTTGGTTGCCGTGTTTCCTCACGTTCTTCAACTAGCTCAACTTTTGTAGGCAGGCGTCACATGATTGGAAAGGTAGTCACATGACACGTAATTGGAGGCTTACAGGTAAAATTAAAGAATTTATCCTCAACTAATTTTGTGGTGTAGGTCTACGTATTTTGTAATGTTAACTTCAAATAATACAAATAGTAATTTAAAGATGTGGTAACATTGAATCTGGACGGGAAGGATAACTCTGGGAGTTGGAAGGCGTGTGTCGCGATTCTACCTTCTCACACTGCGACACGGGTTCGTGGATCTGTGTTGCGATTTCGGTTTCATATTGCATATTGTTCCAGCCCTAATATATATATATGTGTGTGTGTGTGTGTGTGTGTGTGTGTGTGTGTGTGTGTGTGTGTATATGTATATGTATGTGTATATGTATATATACATATACATATTCAACATATTTTGCCCTATTAATGATTCACCTGGTGTCTATTTCATGTTTTTCTCCTGTAATGCTCCATCCAGGGAATAGATAAGTATGTGGTGGAGGATGTGGAGGAGTGTCGGGCTCAAGTTGAACGCTACACTCGACCCCTTCACATCATTGAGGGCCCCCTGATGAATGGTATGAAGGTAGTGGGAGATCTCTTTGGAACTGGGAAGATGTTCCTACCACAGGTAGGATGGCAACTTAGTTTTGATCTGACGTGTTGCATCAGTGTTTTGGTTTTTTCACTTTATCGTCAGTGGTTCATGGACTGTGATGTTGTTGAAGTCTGATAAAGTTTGTGTTGGCTGTTTCTACTCACATTAATGCAGGATTATAATCCATCTATCTGTTCGTAGTAAGTAATGGCTTTTTGGCAATCAGAAATAGATGTCCACTCAGTAAATGGTGTCTTTATTCAAACATGACAGGACTAAAAAAGCCTCAGTGCTCGCAAACTTTGGAAAAAAAACTGAATGTCAAACACTGTGGCCGTGTCTGAGACCACACACTTTGCATAGATTCCCTGGGCATGCAGTGGACCAAGATGTTCACATGCCTGACAATTAAATAATCAATTTTAAATACTGATGAAAAACATGAATTTTTACTTGCCTAGGGTCAGGGTTAGGTCTTGATTGATTAAGCTAGTTAGCTAGTACAGAAATATTACACAGTACATCACTTGAAATGGGACAGTCTGTCGTTTTTTCCTCTATTTCTGGCTATTGCCATAAAAAGTGTCTCACTAATATGTACAATTTTAATTACGCTATGATCTCCATCCATATAAGGTAGCTTCATAATACACTGAACAAAATTATAAACGCTTTTGTTTTTGCCGCCATTCATCATGAGCTGAACTCAAAGATCTAAGACTTTCTCTATATACACAAAAGGTCTATTTCTCTCAAATATTGTTCACAAATCTGTCAAAATCTGTGTTAGTGAGCACTTCTCCTTTGCTGAGATAATCCATCCACCTCACAGGTGTGGCATATCAAGATGCTGATCAGACAGCATGGGTATTGCACAGGTGTGCCTTAAGCTGGCCACAATAAAAGGCCACTCGAAAATGTGCAGTTCCATCACACAGCACAATGCCACAGATGTCGCAAGTTTTGCGGGAGCTTGCAATTGGCATGCTGACTGCAGGAATGTCCACCAGAGCTGTTGCCCGTGAATTGAATGTCCATTTGTCTACCATAAGCCGTCTCCGAAGTCATTGAAGAATTTGGCAGTACGTCCAACCGGCCTCACAACCGCAGACCACGTGTAACCAAACCAGCCCAGGATCTCCACATCCAGCATCTTCACCTCCAAGATTGTGGCCAGCCTAAGGCACACCTGTGCAATACCCATGCTGTCTGATCAGCATCTTGATACGCCACACCTGTGAGGTGGATGGATTATCTCGGCAAAGGAGAAGTTCTCACTAACACAGATTTTGACAGATTTGTGAACAATATTTGAGAGAAATATGCCTTTTGTGTACATAGAGAAAGTCTTAGATCTTTGAGTTCAGCTCATGATGAATGGCGGCAAAAACAAAAGTGTTGCGTTTATAATTTTGTTCAGTGTAAGTAACCAGAGGCCACTGCCTTATGTCGTCAATCCAACTACCCATGCTGCTGTCAGTCAGCAGATGACTATAGACTACACCAGGGGTGTAATGGCTAATCAATTTAACAATTGTAGAATGCAATATTCACTTTAGGCCTATAACAATGATAAATTAAAATTTTTAATTTCCATATAATTTTTTCTTCAAAGCCACTAATAGGGCTACACAGTGCTCCAGAGACACAGGTTGCCTACCCCTGGGCTGGGCTATACCGCTTTTTAACTCTCGAACAACATTTGGGGTACAACCTGTTATTCTCCCAGGAGAGTCCTACCAGACATTGAGTAACATTAAGCTGGAATCCTATACGTATAATCAATATGGGGTGTAAGAAAATTTTCGTATCACAATATTTTATTTAGGGCTATGGTGTTAGATGTTACAGTGACTGCGCTAAATACAAATGCAGATCCTACTCTGGTTGCACAAAAAACATAAATTTTTTTAAACTCAGATTTTGTGTTCTTGGATTTTTTAAAATTAAATCACAATATATTAGCCTAGCTTACAGTATTGTAATATATGACAGTATAATGAATCGGAACCCCTGTATCATGATACGTATCACCAGATTCTTGCCAATAGACAGCCCTAATCAGTATCGTATCAATCCATGCAAGCAATCAGTTCCAATGCAGTTTTTTGCAGGTGATCAAGTCAGCTCGTGTTATGAAGAAGGCGGTGGGCTATCTGATTCCTTTCATGGAGAAGGAGCGGGAGATGATGGCATTATCGGGGTCAACTGAGGATGTGGTCAGTCTCAAATATATAAGAATGTACTTGGTGACAATTTAATGCAACTGTCATTTTAAATGTTTTTTTTGTTTTTTTTTACGTTGACAGATTTGTTGTCAAACATCAAATGTTTGAAATGTAAGTGGTGCAGTACCCTAAACTAAACGGATTTAATTAAAAAATATATATTAAAGATTCTTCTGCATACGCTTACCATAATTTGAGACCCAGTGATATAGAGGGAAGAGAACGTAGCCAAAGTATACCGCTCTAGCCAAGAGAGCAGCTTTAAACAAACTAAAACATTAAAAAATGGCCAGATTTCCTCCTGTTCTTTGCTTCCTCTGATGTTTTCTCCTTGTTCTGCAGGATCCTTATCAGGGCACCATAGTTCTGGCTACAGTGAAGGGAGATGTCCATGATATTGGAAAGAACATTGTAGGTGTAGTGCTGGGTTGCAACAACTTCAGGTAAGACTGGTTTTGGTGCTCAAGGTTTTCATTGTCTTTTGATTCCCCTGCAGGGCACAGTGCTGCATTATGGGAGAGAAGTGGCAGTGCTGAGTTGTTGCTGTGGCACCATCCAAACATTATAATGGCTAGTTAATGGCACTAATTTGCTGTGTTTGTGTGTGTTTGTCAGCTACCCATCTATCCTTGCATTGTGTAATATTATGTGTGTGTATGCAGGGACATGAGAAGAAGGACATGCTTTTTACTGTAGCCTGAGTCAGATTATTGATACATAGTGCTCTTATTGTGAAGGATATTGAAATAGAACACTAGTAGCATTAGCAGTGTGGAGTGATAGTCTCCTACCAATTTTAACATCCAACCTTAGATTCTCCCAATATACAGTAGATCTACAATTAAAGGTGGTGGGTCGACATGGCTCTGAATTTTCATGTGTTTTGGACGCTGCATTAAGGAGTTAAATATCATTTTCAGTGACAGGAAAATAATAATGCCTTGCATTACAATAAGGTCTCATTAAAATCCATAAAATACTCAATGTATGTCAAACAAATGAAAAAAAGTAATGTTTGTTGTCCGTTGGATTTAGGATGTTTCTTGTCTTTCAGAGTAATCGACCTTGGAGTGATGGTTCCCTGTGATAAGATCCTCAGAGAGGCCACCAGACAGAAAGCAGGTGCAGTTTTAAATATTTAAATGTGGTATTTTAGAAAAAATTGAATGTGCCATGATAGGCCAGTGAGCTGCTGTACTTCTACTACCTTATCTGGTTTAAAGTAATACCTGCAGACCCAAAGAGCCTAACTTTCAGTGCTCATTTTTGTCTGACTGCCAAAATCTAGTTAGCAGAAGCTCAGAGTTGATCAAGATGTTTTTAGTAATGAGCAGTGTTTACTTGCAGATATCATTGGTTTGTCTGGTCTCATCACCCCTTCCCTGGATGAGATGATCTATGTAGCCAAAGAGATGGAGAGACTGCAAATTACAACACCACTGCTGATTGGAGGAGCCACCACATCAAAGTAACACACACACACAGACACAAATCTGCGACAAGGCAAAAATATACCAATGCCTGATACAGTATACTGATCAACTAACAGGAATATATCACAATAAATGACAGGTAACAGATGCTCTCAGTCAGTCGTGCATATATATTACTGTTGAACACATAGTATTTTGCATTTTGTACACAACTACAATGGAGACCAAGAAATGCTATTTATATGATGCAGCGAGCATTTGCACTGAGGATGTGCAGAGGATAAACAAGTTGCAGTATACAGGTGGACCTCTAGGTCTGAGATGTGAGGCCTTAACCTTAAACCTGCATTCTTTCTAAAGGCCAGCATGGGGCAGCTCCTTTGGTCGCAAAAAGAAGCCTTGCATTTAATGTAATGACAAAATGCATACTTTCATGCATACTGGACTTATTAGCTCAGTAACCAGGTTCCTTTGGGTTTCTAGTCTTCAATTCTTCCATACAACATGATGCTCATTTAGTAAATTATGGTCCCATTTAGTGTAAAAACTAAACCATAGCTTTACGGTTTCTTTTTTGCTGGGTATGCTTTAAGGCATGTCTACCCTGTGATTGATAAGTCACTCTCACTGAGGTTATCGAGTGCAACGCACCAAACTGTCAAACCAGGGCTGGGCGACATGAGCTCAAAATAAAACCACATCCAATTTACAATTTTAATTGATTTTAGTTTTCTTAAAAACAAACACAAGACACCAGGGAATGGTGACATCTTTGGCAAGGTGAAACACCACTGAATCTGTAATGTCTTATCATCTATTATAAAAAGATTTTACATGTTCTGTGTAGATGAGTGAAGTGAGTGGATTAGGGTTGGTTTTACAGAATCCTTAGCAGCTGTATATCCTCACATTATAACAGTTGTAGTTTAAATCTCAATTTTGCGATTTACTCATTTTTGTATCGTTTTAAAACATTTTAATCTATCGATTGATTGCACAGCTCTATGTCAAACTGGGCAGTGCTGATCAAATATGATTTAGGATTCTGTTACTGTGTTGCTTACCTCTCTCCTCAAATCTTTTTGCAAACATATTTTAGTGTAATGTTTATCTGAAATGCAAGAATGTGTGTGACCAGGCCGAGTGCCATTGTTTCGTGCTACTTTTGAATTGTATTGAAACCAAGCGCAACCATTTAGAGCAGCTCAACTCATAGTTCGTCACCTCTGCTGACTGCAAAAAACAAACATGGTAGTTACCATAATGCCAGACTCGAGGCTTCACAGCGGTACTCCACAAACCAATGGGTGACAAGGTTCACACTTCTTGCTGGTTGGTTGGGGCACCTATTATGGTTGAAGGTAGAGTGAAGCACTTGTGATGTGCCATCCTGATGACATCCCACACTTTCAAGTGAAAAGAAGCAGCTTGTGATGATGTGCATCACAGGATGCATTTACAGGTCTGTAACAACGAAAAGCCCACAAAGAATGCTGAGTTGTGCTTTAATGATGCTTTGGATCAGATATGACTTATTATAATAATATATATATAATTATACAAAATCAACTCTACTATACTTTTCAAGAAATGTATCCATTATATGTAATTAGTTATAAGTTGTACCTACTGTCTCACGGTAAAAAAAAGGGTACAGTACACTTTTGTGTAATTCATGTGGTTTGTGTTTTATAGGACACATACAGCAGTGAAGATCGCCCCTCGCTACAGTTCTCCTGTTATCCATGTTCTGGACGCCTCTAGGAGCGTGGTGGTGGTAAGAACGTCTACCTGATATCACTTGAACTTTTCTAAGTTCTAGAGTGTTACTGGAATTTTTGGACTAACAACCAAGCAGCAACCTGTGTGGCTGCAAATGAAGTCAACACAGAAGTAACACTGTAGTTCCTCTCATGGCTACTTGGGCCTGGCTCCAGAAATTAGTCTCCATAAGCCCCCATATTAAAATGCCCTACTTTACAGCAGAAACAAACATGCTTCATTCAGCCCGCCTCAGCTCCACCCACGCTCCACCTCTTTGCCCATTTCTGGATTAGCCAGGAGCCGGTGGAGTCAGGACAGGGGCTCCTATGGGTGACGTCACGGAGACAACATCTATTTTTAATTATAGTCTATGCTATAAACCAACCCTCTCTCCTATAGAGAAACCAATAGCTTTCATTACATATGAATAGGTGTAACACTTATATATTTTTACTTAAATATCCCTCTTTTAAATACCCTGGCTGTATTGAATTGGCTCAAATGCATAGAGGAACAGATCAGGGACATATATTTTGATATGCAGTGCCTTTGGATTTTTAACTAGAAATCTGTTCAAGAGTGATGCTTTAAATTTTACGGGTAATGCTAAGGAAGTTTTAATCTGCACCTGGGTCGGGATCAGGATCAAAATTCAAATAGGTAGACAATCACGAGACAGTGCCAGATGTTCCCTCTCCCAAGTAAGTAAAGTTGTTCATGAGAAATGTCCTGAAAAACTTTGTTCCACATCAAAAAGGTATTCCTTTGCCAATAGTCCAACATGGCACCACATTTGATTTGAATTTATTTTTTTCATAAATAGACAAAATAGAAGCATTTGGGGTGCAATCATCTCTTTACTGATCATAGAGTTGGTATTAGTTGATGTGGTCTAAAGTCGTTTTATTTTTCTTTCTGTCAGTGCTCACAGCTCCTGGATGCGGCAATGAGGGAAGAGTACTTTGAGGACCTGAAAGAGGAGTATGAGGAGATCAGGCAGGAGCACTACGACTCCCTGAAGGTAAGACTGGCTGGAGAAAACGCCCAACAAGGTGGATGCTAGAGGAGATTTTACACCTCTGGGTCCTGGGTCCACTGACCCACGTAGCTGCCTACTTTGAGATCACTGTTGCATCCACGTGTCTTGAACCATTATCACATCTGAAAATAGGCTGGAAGAGTCAGCAGCCTCCAAACAAATTAAAACACACCTGAACCCCTGCACACAGCTGCTCATCTGTTTGTCAGATTTAATATTCTTTTGCATAAGGAATGGAAATGACGTTTGAAATTCCTGCAAAATTATTATATAGTAAGGAAGCACAAGACGCATACTGCATGAAAAATGAAAGCGTGCTACCAGAAGAAACTAGGTTTATACCTTTATTTTTGGACAGTGACAGCCAAATATAGACAGGAAAGAACTACCAGGTGAGCTACCAGAGCATGCAAGAAGACTCCTAAAACAGCTGTAGTTTTTAGCAAATGTTACATCTGGGACTATTTTCAGCACCAGATTAATGCGTATTTGGACAACAATGGAGCTTTGATATTGGATTTTAATACACACACAGAAATAAATATAGAATTAATTTTTTTGACATACATATTGAGTAGTGTTTCAAAAGATTTCACTGATATTTTTTATACACCCCTTTTTTATTTGAGTCTAGGGTTTGTAAACAGCAGCTACAAGACAGTGATGATAATATGGTTTTATCTTCACAAGTTTGACATTTGAGAAACAGAGTCCATCCACTTTGACTGTGTTTGAGCATCAAATGAACAGCGCTAGCCTTCCAGTTGATCATAGTCATAGTCTCCTGATCCATTTTATTCAAACAATTTTGTATTAGCCCTTAAAAATCAAATCCAATCAGATGTCAAACAATGATGTTTTCAGCACAAAAGTTGAAAAAATACAGATTAAAACAAAAATGTAGCAAGTTTGAAGTTGTCAAACAACGTCAAAAATTGAGAATATTGAGGTTGTAATGAAATGTGCAAAATAACTTTCTCCTCGTCCATCCTTCATCCTCTGTTTCCTCAGGATCGTCGGTATCTGTCACTTTTCCAGGCCAGAGAAAAGGCTTTACATATAGACTGGCTCTCTATGCCCAGGCCAGGTAAGTTAGCACAAATGAATCAAATGGAACAAGAGCAAGAGGATATACTGTATGTATTGTAATACTTTAGTACAATGTGGAACATATTCTGTATGGACCTTGTGTTTCAGTGCGTCCTCAGTTCCTGGGCACCCGTGTGTTTGAGTGGTACGACCTGAACAGTCTGGTGGACTTCATCGACTGGAAGCCTTTCTTTGATGTGTGGCAGCTGAGAGGAAAATATCCCAACAGAGGTTACCCCAAGATCTTTAATGACAAGACTATTGGTACGATGTCCACTTTGTCAGTGTTAATGATAAATCACACTGCAAACATCCATCCTGCTCCATGACATTCTACTCAAATGTTGATCATTTAGCTGCAACGCTGAATTGATTAGTTGTCAACTATTAAATGAATTGCCAACTACTTCGAAATTTGATTAATCATTTTGAGTCATTTTCTGAGAACAAATGTCTAGATTCTCTGGGTTTATTTAGTCTTCTCTGACAGTAAACTGAATACCTTTGGGTACAAAATGTCATTGTATGTTATTAGTATAGATAAAATAGGATAAAATGATGAAGTGATGACAGTGTATATCCAAAATGTTAAAGGTCAACGTCAATGTGACATCAAAATGTTTTGGTCTTTTCTGGTCATTATTACCTCAGGGACAAAAACTACCTGAGGTAACAAAAGGGGAGAAATTCGGTCGAATACTGAATTGGTGACACTAATCTTGGGTGCCCGCCTTGAAACTCACTTGAAAAGATTGTTTGTGCTGCTGGGTTGAAGATGTGTGAAGCATCCACATTTTACAATTTGTAGCTTATTTGCCGCAACATCTCGTTTTTTGTTTCTCTCAATGAACTGATTAGAAGCCCGACTGATATGGGATGAGATTTTTTAGATCTGTCTTAATAGGTGAAAAGATGCACCTATTACGACAGATACAGTGTCATTTTGAATTGGATTAAACATAGACCTTTTCTGTGTGGATTAGTTTGCCCCTACTGGTCTAGAAATATAGCGGTACAACATGTGGCGTCTCTCCAGATAAAAACAACTTGTTCTATGGTAACAAAAACACAGCGATTCTTATCTTCAGGTGATCATACACTAAAACGAAATGACGTATGAAAACATACCTATAAATATGAATATTACATTTACCATTATCATGGTAAAACAATAAGATTATTTAGATTAGATTTATTCGACTGAAAAAATCTCATCATTATTTGCAAAAAGCAAAAGAATCTCCAGTATGCATTACCATTGTAAAATACATGTTACTGTAACGTATTAGTGGATGTTTACTAAGCCAAGCTACAAGTCTGCCTCTTAAAAGGGAGTTTGTCCATGCCACTGTCACTAAGTGCTTGCTGATTATGGGAATTATTAGTTCTCTGTAAATAATTTCACAAGGAGTACGGTCCAGGCCTGGTTTGAAAAGTGCCCTGAGATAACTTCTGCTATGATTTGGCACTATACAAATAAAACTGAATTGAATAATCATTTTTATTGTTTTATGTAGATGCAAGTGACTGTTGTACAGTTTCTTCAAAACTAAAATAACTATACAACAAGAACACAAAAACCTTAGAATGACCTCTAGCTTCATCTAATGTCAGTAACATTTGCTTCCTTCAGGTTCGGAGGCTCGGCGAGTCTTTCATGATGCCCAGCAGCTGCTCAATCAGATGATTGACAATGGCAGTCTGAAGGGGCGGGGCCTGGTGGGGTTCTGGCGTGCCCAGAGTGACGGTGATGACATTAGTGTGTACAAAGACAATGTCATGGTGCACAGAGGCACCAAGCCTATCGCCACATTCTATGGTTTACGGCAACAGGTGAGGGTCATTAACAGTTGCAATGTGTTTCATTGCATTGCTTTAAGTTCAGTGGTTTCAAAGACCCAAGCATACATATTCATTGTCATTTTACAACTTAGGGTAGTATAGGTTGTAGTTCTATTTATGCTACTCATAAAGACAAAACATATATATATATATATATATATATATATACACAAAAATGTTTATACAGTAAAATAAACTATTGTAGATAATCAAGTGCTGAGGATGAATTAAGCAGTCTCACCACCTGAGGGAAGAAACTTTATCTTTACCCTTTTTGCCCCCTTTTTCCTAAACTCAGCTCCTTAGTTTTGCTGATCTCCGCAAGATTTTTGTTTTTCTCCCATTATGAAGTGTCAATCCAGCTGATAATGGTGATGTCATCTGCAAACTTCAGTTGTCTCGATGTTGGGGGATGAAATCATGGTCCTGGATAACAGTCTAAAAGACTGAGGTGTGGACACTTGTAGCATAAACAAAGCATTATGATGCCTTACCATGGAGAGGCATCAGCCAGTGTGTAGTGTCTAGATTTTAATACTTTGGATTTTATTTCATTATGTTCTTACTCAGATTCTGAATGTAACCTTTAATGGACGGTAATATATTCCACAGTAACACATTTCTCTGTGTGTGTGTGTGTGTGTGTGTGTGTGTGTGTGTGTGTGTGTGTGTGTGTGTGTGTGTGTGTGTGTGTGTGTGTGTGTGTGTGTGTGTGTGTGTGTGTGTGTGTGTGTGTGTGTGTGTGGGTGGGCGCGCTTGTGTACACTGCAGGTGGAGAAGGAGAGCTCCAGTTCAGAGCCCTACCTGTGTATCTCTGACTTTGTTGCCCCTGTAGACAGTGGCGTGGCAGATTACATAGGTGTGTTTGCTGTGGGTGTGTTTGGAGCTGAGGAGCTGAGTCAGCGGTTCCAGGCTCAGGGAGATGACTACAGCAGCATCATGGTCAAAGCGCTGGCTGACCGACTGGCTGAGGTACAGTATGATCAGCTTCACTGCTGGTATTGCACGTGTCATTGAGTCACTGGTGCTGAATGTCTTCTTTGGTTTCTGCTGCAACCTCTGTCATCCAGGCCTTTGCTGAGGAGCTCCATGCTTGTGTGCGTAAGGAGCTGTGGGGCTACAGCTCTGATGAGGCTCTGCAGGCCTCAGACCTCCACAGAATTCGATATCAGGGCATCAGACCTGCAGCTGGCTACCCTAGCCAGCCGGACCACACAGAGAAGACCACCATGTGGAGCCTGGCTGGGATCCAGGAGAAGACTGGTGAGAGTACCAAACACTTTGCTCTCATGACTGCAGTTGAAAGGCTCCCATTGCTGTAAATTGTTCTTTCATATGAAACACAGATCTGATGTGCTCTTAGTAGTCTTTTAACAGCAAAATTAAATTACTTTTTTTTAGTTATTACATTTATTTTCTGTCAAGGAAGCAGGTTACACAGGTAAATGATGCAGCGTTGTATCCTGGTTATCTGTGTATACTGTACATTTCTCCTCTACCCCTTTTATTTTGGAAGCATGACTTGCGTAATTAAGCTGGATAGAAGATATTGTGTCGGATAGTCAAAAATAGTCAAATCTTTGTAGCCCAGCATTCAGAGAACGTAGTGTTCTAGTGGGGTAATAGGGTACTATGAGCTCTTTAAGATATGAAGGGGCCTGACCATGAAGAGCTTTATAGGTGAGGAGGAGGATTTTAAATTCTATTCTACATTTTACAGGGAGCCAATGCAGAGAAGCTAGTACAGGAGAGATGTGATCTCTTTTTCTAGTTCCTGTCAGTACTCGTGCTGCAGCGTTCTGAATTAATTGGAGCGTTTTAATGGACTTCTTGGGGCAACCTGATAATAAAGAGTTGCAGTAATCCAGCCTTGAAGTAACAAATGCATGGATTAGTTTTTCTGCATCTGTCTGTGATAGTATGTGTCTAATTTTTGTAATATTACGTAAATGAAAGAAAGCAGTCCTAGAGGTCTGCTTTATGTGGGAGTTAAATGACAAATCCTGATCAAAGATAACTCCAAGATTCCTGACAGTGGTGCTAGAGGCCAAGTTAATGCCATCTAGAGTAACTATATCTTTAGACAGTGAGTCTCTAAGGTTTTTGGGGCCAAGAACAAGAATTTTGTTTTTTTCTGAGTTTAACATCAGAAAATTGCAGGTCATCCAGGATTTTATGTCCTTAAGACATGTTTGTAATTTAGATAATTGATTAATTTCATTGGGCTTGATTGATAGATATAACTGCGTATCATCTGCATAACAGTGAAAGTTAATGGATCGATTCCTAATAATGTTGCCTAAAGGGAGCATATATAAAGTAAATAGTATTGGTCCAAGTACAGAACCTTGTGGAACTCCATGACTAACTGTAGTTTTTATTGAAGATTCATCGTTAACATGTACAAACTGCGAGCGATCTGATAAATATGACTTAAACCAGCTTAGTGCGGTTCCTTTAATGCCAATTTGATGCTCAAGTCTCTGTAAAAGAACATCATGGTCAATGGTGTCAAATGCAGCACTAAGATCTAATAATACAAGTACAGAGACGAGAGAAGTCCATTGTCGGAAGCAATCAGAAGGTCATTATTAACTTTAACCAGAGCTGTCTCTGTGCTGTGATGAACTCTAAATCCTGACTGAAAATCCTCAAATAAACTATTGTTATGTAGAAAGTCACACAACTCTTTGGCGATTACTTTCTTCAGAATCTTAGAGAGGAAGGGGAGGTTAGAAATCGGTCTATAGTTGGCTAAAACCCCTGGGTCAAGAGTGGGCTTTTTAAGAAGGGGTTTAATTACAGCTACTTTAAAGGCCTGTGGTACATATCCTGATAATAAAGAAAGATTAATCATATCCAGTGCCAATTAAGGGAACAACTTCTTTAAGCAGCTTAGTTGGGATCGGGTCTAATAGACAGGTTGTTGACTAGCAGACAGACATGACATGTGCTCCTTAGATGAGTACAGAAGCCCTAAAGGGCCATGCATTCGTACATTTTATTTCCTCCCTTTTCCCGAGATAACGATATAACTAATTGGAGATCTCAAGATAATGACTGTGATATGATAACTGCGGTCAAGCCAGCCGTTACTCCGATCTCCGTGGTCAAATCAGCCGCACCTAAATTTTGAGTAAGTATTCTCAGCATTATGGTAATTGCGGAGCAACAGGGTATTCACTTCCGGTTTTCAAAATAAAGGTGTTAAGAACAGTAAGCTATAATAATAATATAATACTTGTACACTCGAAATTTACGCGGGCTGATTTGACCATGGAGATTGGAGTAACAGCTGGCTTGACCGCAGTTATCATATCACAGTCATTATCTCGAGATCTCAAATTAATTATATCATTATCTCGGGGGAAAAAAGTTTCGTTATCTTGAGATCTCGAGAAGATTATCACGTTATCACAGGAAAACGGAGGAAATAAAATGTATGAATTCATGGCCCTTGGCTTCCGTAGATGAGGGACTTTCACCTATTTTAAAAGCCTGACATAACGTCCTCCCGTCAGTCTTAAGCCCTATTCGCACGGGACTTGTATTACCTGGGGACCTCATGTGATTTAGTAATTACCCCACCACGTCTGTGTTTCGTGCGGCACATTCGCATGGGATAAGCGAAGTCTGTGTTTTAACTCGAATTTACTGACATTATCCCCCGGATATGATGTCAAGGCTCTGCGTAACCTATGCGTAACATCCGTTTCCTGGACGACAAGAGCAATGGCTGCAAAGAAAAAAAACCCAGCACTGGACGCGCGAAGAGACGCTCAGTTTAATTGCTGTGTGGGGTGAACCACATTACCAAAAGCAATTTGATCAAATGGTGCACAACCACACAGTTTGGGAAAGTATTTAGAAAGACCTCTTGCTCTGGTGCCTGTCTGTTCATGGGCTACCTGTACCTCTAACGCAGCCTCCATAATTCTCGACCGGGAAAAAGGCAGAAAAAAGGCGCGGAAAACACAAAAAACTTTAAAAACGAAAAACGACCCCAAATTACGGAGATGCCGATTCGCACGGGACTAATATTATCACATGACCTCTGTGTTTGGTGAAATATGGTAGGTAATTTGCGTTTTTTTTTTACTTTACAAATTACAGGCGTGGCAGATTCGCACGGGATTAGGATCACAGACGACCTCCACAATTATTACAAATTACTAGAGCTCCCCAGGTAATACTCGTCCTGTGCGAATAGGGGTTAAGTGAGCCCACCTCTTCCTCACTCCAAGAAAATAAGGTTGGTCGTGTTTCAGAGAAAAGGTGTAATTACCAAAAGTAATGTTTAAGGAGAACGTTGGGTTAAGTTCTCCTTCAACATTAGTTTTGGTATCTCACTATGGGATATAGAGACTCCCCTTATTGCTTACCTCGAAGACATGAAAGGATAAGCGTATCTGTTACTGGACTAATGCTCAAGACTGTGAGACAGAGAAGGTGCATCCAATCTGTAAAATCTTTGCAGCGGTGCCCAGCTGGTAGCCGCACATACACAGATACACCTTAAAACAATGCCCAGGATGTAGCCATTCCATAAGTGGAATGAGAAACCCTTCGCTATGATAGGCCATTGCAATAGCCCCCACGATCCAGTGAGACGAACGCTACTTTGTAAGTGGTTTTCCCAAATGTGGTGTTGCTGTTGATACAAGGAGCTCCTCTGATTTCCTGAATGCAGCTGTCCTATCCACACATGCGCATAATGCCCACATCGGACAGAGGTATGATATTGCTGGGCACAAATGCAGGATTAGGTTTCAGTAACACCTTAGAATCCCCCATTACAAACTGCATACATAACGGATTTACAGACAATGCATAGATGTCACTAATGCATTTAGCAGAGGCCAGCACAAGTAATAAGGCTGTTTCAAAGAAGAGCGTTTTAAGCTCTTCCTGCTGCAGTGGCTGGAAAGGTGGGCATAACAGTGCATCAAGCACCATTGACACAGCTAAGTACACTTTTACAGTAGAGAATGCCAAGCCTTTATCCAGCAGGATTGTCAGAAAAATGAATGTAGGGCTCTGGAAAGCCTGCAGCGCGTAGAGGAAGCGCTAGCAGTGTCAATTCTTGCAGTGAATTTCTGCGGAAGCCCAGTAGTAGTCAAATTGAACCCTTTACGAGCCAGGCCCATAGCCATGTGTTCAGGATGAGGATGGAAGCGATCCACTCTGAAAAGTTAGAAGCCTACCAGCTCCATGAAGCATTAAACAGAAGATGAGGAAAACCCTGTTTTTCTCCACCAGTAGCTGAAGTTCGTCCAGTGTGTTGCACAGTAAACGCACGTTTGAGAGAAATATTCCATGTAATGGTGTGTGATGTCCTCGCTGGTGGAGGTGCACCGGTTCACCGGCACGTTTTTCTCTCCTCCTGCGTTTCACTGCATGAGCAAAGGGGAGCGCACCTTTGACTAGAATGTCCGATAATTCCACATAGGAGAGAATAAAAGTTGGGGGGAAATCCTGGAGTCGTTCCCCTGGTGTTCATAAACTCTTCTCTGGTGAACGTGCTCCAGGTATCACAGTAGAAAACAGAATTAACAAACAAAACAAGAATTAAAGCTGCAAGCAGCGTTGGGCGGGACCTCGCAGTCCACGCAACTCGGGGCGTGCTGCGGCCGCGTCGCATGCCGCCATAACACGTGCGGACCACAACATGAAACTCTGCCGTTAATCAGCTCGAAATCGCCACGCAGCACTTACTTCCTGTTGCCAGTAGGTGGCGCTATCACTATGTCTGAATATTGTCATGTACACGTGTTCAGGGCGGGACTGTTATCAAGCATTTGAAGTGTGGAGCCGATTGGACAATGTACACTCAAGTTATAGCGAATTCGTGTTTTGTGGTGGTCCATCAAAATTTCCCGCCACCCCACAGTCAACACATATCATCAACAATGTGTTTTTCATTTTATAAGTAAATTTCAGGTGGATCTGATCATCCTGCGAGGAGTAGAACATGAAAGTATAAAACGTGATACTTCCTTTTACCATGTCTGAATATTGTCATGTAGACGTGTTCAGGGTGGGACTGTTATCAAACACGTGAAGTTTCATTGAGATTGGATCATGTACGCTGAAGTTATGAGGACGTGTTCAGGGTGGGACTGTACACTGAAGATGAGTACTATCTGTTTGATGGCCAATTGGTGGAATTCGACACGTCGTCACAGGCACACGGTTAAACATACAGTCACAAATAGCACAACTTTTGATAACCAATCTGTGTAGATTGAAGTGATCAAATTTGA